CGGGCGGAACACGCAGGTACTGAGCACCCTCTCCACTAGTAGACAACACATACATGGCAGTGAGAATAGCATCAAAGTCTAGAGCATAGATATCAATGTTTTTCTTCATCAGATCAGCCCAGCGGGGCAGCTCAGTGGCAGCAGGGAACTGAGTACGCCAAGCGTCGTCGAGGCGGGAGAAGCAACGCTGCGTGGTGTGCGCCCTCCCACACGTCTGACCAGTGCGGTCACCAGTGCGGATGACATACGTGCAGCTAAGGCCACCCCCCCCCCCGTGCTGAGAGTACCACTCACGAAGCTCCTGGGGCGATGGAGTGTGCTGCTGGCTCTGGCCACTGCCAGCGCCTCCACGACCACCACCGCCGCCGCCACCACCTCGACCACCCCCGCCCCTGCCACCGCCGCGTCCACCGCCGCCCCCACCACCGCCCCCGCCCCTGCCACCTCCCCCGCCGCTGCCGCCACCACCCCCACCGCTGCCACTAGTCCCTCCAGCCCCACCACCACCCCCACCGCCGCCACCGCCCCCACCACCACCTCCCCCGCCGTCACCTCCGCCTCCCTTGCCCCCTTTGCCCTTGCCGCTGCGGCGCCAGCTCGAAGCGGACGCAGTCCCGACCTTCTCAGCACCAAGGAGGTCGATAGCAGAAGCAGAGGCTACAGAGGGAAGAAGGGGGGAAGGGGAACACCCCTCAAAGAAAGGGGTGCGGGGGTCGCCACGAGAGGCACCTACAGCGACTATGCTAGCCTCAGCTGCAAGTAGCTCCTTCTCGAGGAGGGCAATGGTGAGCTCAGTGGGGCAGCGAGCTAGGAAGTGATCCCTGACTGCACGCAGAGTGTCAGGGAGGCGGGTGACTAGGTGGTAGAGAGTGAGCCAGAGCGGGGGGGGGTTCGTGGCAAGGAACTCATCGGGCATAGCGGCACGGAAGCGGGCCTCACTAGTACGGAGGTGCGTGATGAGGTCAGCGACTGTGTGGAAAGAGGACAGGTCGGGGAACAGGTAGGGGAGTGAGAGACGGCCTAGCGCGGCAGAGGCAGGTGAGGAGTAGCGGGCAACGACAGCAGTGTACAGTGCCTGTGCAGTCTTGTGCTGGCCAAAGTGCTCGCGCTCATCTATCGGCAGGGAGTTGCGAATAGCAAAGCGAGCGTGGGCGTCACGAGTCTGCCACTGTGAGCGGGTAGTGCTGTCAGCAGTAGCAGCAGGGGCAGTGGCATGGCCTAAGGCGTGATCGTACAGTGAGATGTCCTCCTTGGCAGTGAGCTGTAGGAAGAGGTGCAGGTCATCTAGCCAAGTGTCAAACTTCACTGGGCGGCCCTCAGCATCGAAAGCTAGCACAGGAGGGCTAGCCATAGTAGCAGTAGGGGCAGTAGCAGTAGTAGTAGCAGGAACAGTAGCAGTAGTAACAGCAGGCGAGACCCTAAAAGCAGCAGGCAGCGCGACTCAGGTAGGGCGGCTCGGTCCAGAGAGGGCTGCTCAGTACGGGGAGGGCGGCGCAGCTCGGCTCGGACTGGGCGGCTCGGTTCGGGCGGCTCGATTCGGGCGGCTTGGTTCTGGCGGGGCCGTGGCTGTCGCGTGCGGGGCGCTAAGGGGCGGTGCGTGGGGTCGACGGGGCCGACGGGGCCGCTAGGTGGGGAGCGCGCGGGGTCGACGGGGCCGACGGGGCCTCTAAGGGGCAACGCGTGGGGTCGACGGGGCCTCTAAGGGGCTGCGCGCAGGGTCGACGCGGCCGTGAGGGAGGGCCTCTAAGGGCCGGCGCGCGGGTCGCTAAGGGGCGGGTCGCGGGTCGCGAGGCCTTACGGGGCCGTTAAAGAGGGGCGCACGAGGGCGCTGGGGGAGGCGCTCGAGGGCGCTCCGACAGTAGGGCGCACGAGGGCGCTAGTAGGCAGTCAGTAGTGGTGGGCCCTAAGAAAAATCGGTCCTAGCGAAGGACCTGCTCTGAAACCATGTTAGGATTGAGAGAAGTGTGTGTACTAGGAAGAGAAGTGAGTACAAGTACCTAACCCTAGAATTGTGTACCCTCTAAAGGCTAACCCACTGTAGCCTAAACAACTACAACATATATAATGTTTGACAGAGGAAGGGCAGTACGAGGGCTGCTAAGGCAGTACGAGGGCTGCTAAGGCAGTACGAGGGCTGCTAAGGCAGTACAAGGGCTGCTAAGGCAGTACGAGGGCTGCTAAGGCAGTACGAGGGCTGCTAAGGCAGTGGGAGGGCAGTACGAGGGCTGCTAAGGCAGTACGAGGGCTGCTAAGGCAGTGTGAGGGCAGTACGAGGGCTGCTAAGGCAGTGGGAGGGCAGCGCGCGGGGCTGACGAGGCAGCGGGCGGGCTGTGCGGGCGTCGCACGGGGCTGACGAGGCAGCGGGCTGGCTGCGCGCTCGCGGGTCAGTACAGCCAGCGGGCTGGCTGCGCGGCCGCGGGTCAGTACAGGCAGCGCAAGAGCTGAGAGGCGGCGCGCGGGGCAGTAGAAGGCAGCGCGAGGGCTGCGGAGCGGCACGCGGGCAGTAGAAGGCAGCGCGAGGGCTGCGGGGCGGCGCGTGGGCCTGACGAGGCAGCTGGCGAGCTACGCGCGGGGCTGACGAGGCAGCGGGCGGGCTGCTAGCGGGCTGCTAGCGGGCTGCACAAGGGCCAGTAGAGGCGACCGCGAGGGCTGCGCGACTCAGGGCAGTGTAGGCAGGGGGCGGGGTAACGCAGTAACCGGCGGAAAACGGTTGGTGGGCCCTGAAAAACAGTCCTAAAACGGTCCTAAGGACCTATTTTGCTCTGATACCATGTCGAGAGTAAAAGGAAGGAAAATGTGTGATCAATATCGAGAGAGTTGGGTACAAGTAACAAAACACCCTACATTAGCTACCCCACTAAAGCCTACATATCATTATAACATAGGCATATAGTTTGACACCCTCCATGTCATCGAGGCCTCCGAATCAAACAGCCTGCGCGTGACGCTCGCCTCGTCAGCATCCAGATGGCTCAACTCCCCTTTTCCTTTCTTCCCTGGCTTGTTCGCCGCCCGTTTCCGAGCTCGACTGTAGATCTTCAGATGCCTCGTGAAACTGACCGCAATCCGCCGCAGGGCCCGTTTTGTCTGGAACCGGCTGCCCCTGAAAACCGCATTACACCTCTCCAACCAGACTTGGTGCGCTGTGGTTGAGATTATCGCTGCTTCCGGAAAACCCGTCGACGTGCAACTCTCCTGAAAGGGACTCCACCACCCTGCCCGGGTTCATCCACTGTACCGCTGCCTTCATCATTCCAACCACAGGTTGTATTGACGGGCGGCTGTGAAAGGCAGTGGTTTTGTGATTCCACGGCCCCACAGTGTATGCACCTCGCCCGTGCCCCCAGGAAAGGGAGCCTTTCTCCCACTTGGAGGTTGTTGCTGTGTGTCCGCAAGATAATTTACCTCGCTCTGTTCGGGTTCGAGAGGGATTCGCGGACACGGATAGCCTTCTTCCAGTCCACCTTCCTCCCCAAATTAGCATATGTAGAATTGTGCGAGAGAATGCATTTTAGATACACGCGAAACAAGATGCATTCATTGTCATGTTAGTCGCTCATAGCGCATTCTCAAGTTTGCCCACCATCGAAGTTTGCCCACCAGCCCGTTTTTCCGAAGATGATGGTGCATTTGGTGGGAACGCTCCCACTCTACCCACCGAACCTCATTTAGGCGGGCGACAGATGTCGCCAGCGTCGCATGTCCGATATCCAATGAAATTGACGCGCCAGCTCGCATACCAAGTGTTGGAGGAACTTCGTCAGGCAAAACATAAACGGCCGTGCCTGACGATTGCGCCTGACGTAAATTTTGGGCACAATGGTCATATCAAGTCAACGTGGGTTTACTTGGCAAAATCAAGTAAGCAACGCAGAAATGGGTTTCGTGGGCAGGGAAGAAATATATGTGACGGCTGTGTGCGCGAAACTGGCATGTCTAACACTAGTCCCAACACCCAGCAAACGTGGCACGATCTCCATTGTCGTACACTGACGGACAGGCCAGGAATTGCGACCATGGCCGGTTGGACTCAATGGTGGCCAAACTTCGAATCGCGTGGGGAAACTTTCCAATGTAAAATAATGCCACGTCAACATTTCGAGTCGCGTGGGCAAACTTCTAATGGTGGGAAAACTTGAGAATGCGCCCTCAGTCACCTTTGTTCGCGGTATGATCTCCGCTGCTCTTCCCTCGGCATCAGTGTCTTCCGAAAACGCCGGAGTGGGGGGTGTTTCATGCTCTCACATGCAGTCGTTGCATCCTAGATTTTTGTCGTTCAGGCCATAAGGGTCTTCAGAGCGTCCAAGTTACTAGTCAAGACTCGTTCTAAGTTTGATCTCATGCCACGTAAGGTTGTGACTAAGTGATCGCTTTGAACAAATTTAAACCGCTACGAGATCTATGAAATGGTGAATACGTCCTAGGAGAGTCGGGTCCCCTTTTTTCGCCGCCCCCCTTCTCCGCGTTTAACCTTCCGCTCCCTGCGATGAACTTGCACCGTTCGATGAAAACATGTTGGACCTCAAGACTCTTCTGACCCTCGATCTGGTCCCAAACTTGGCAGTTCCAAGGCCGTACAGTTGAGTGGTGCACGCTGATTGTTTCCCTTTCACCTTGAAGTTGCCATTTTCTCGAGTGATATGCCATTGGTGAATCCCTTAGCTTAGCGTGGTCCTTATCTAGGCTCCACAATGGTCCTGTAACCATAATGCGGGTGTGCTGACAACGCGCCGTCAGAACGAGAAGGATAGGTCGCCGATCCTATCGTTTCATGAGCCGTTTTTAACTCGTACTTCTCGCCACAGCTTCTCTCAGTTCGTCAACGTTCCAGTTGACGAGTCAGAAGTCTAAGTTTGCGAAGGGGGCAACCCGATCGTCCGCAGGCCGGGAACACGAAGTCGCAGACGTGTCCGAGCCCTGAAGCTACTAATTAGGAGCTACTAGTCTAGGACGACACGCACAAACTAAGTCGAGCTCCAATGTGGTTTACGCGTCAAGCAATGTCGCCGTCCTTTCGGCTCGGCGCGCAGCTCCCTCTTGCCGCCGCGCTGCTGCTGTCTTTGCAGATTCTAGGGTTGTGGACCTCGGGAGCTGTCGCGCAGCATCGAACGGTGCACAAATGGGATGGTGAGTGCCTGTACCTGATCAGATTAACTCTCACCCACACGGTAGCATTTCGACCGTACGACGACCCCGTCTTATCCTGTGATGCTCGAGATTTGAGTCGTGGAAGGTAGCATTTCGGCCTTACGGCGCCCTTTTAGCCTCGGCTATTCGAGGTTGAGACGTCCCAAAGGTAGCATTGCGGCCGTACGTCACCCTTAGCCTGGGATGGTTCGAGATTTGAGACGTCGCAGAGGTAGCATTTCGACCGTACGACCCCGTCGTAGCCTGAGACATGAGACGTCTCAAATGTAGCCTTTCGGCTGTTCGGCGCCCATTTAGCCTGACACATATTGAAGTTGTGTGACCACGCGAAGGTAGCATTTCGAACTTGCGACCCAACCTGGGATGCTCGAGATATGAGATCTCAATGGTAGTCTTTCGGCCGTACGGCGCCCTTTTAGCCTGGAATACTCGATGTTGAGACGTCGCAAAAGTAGCATTTCAGCCGTTCTACCCCGTCTTCGCCTGCAGTATCCTCATTCGACGCGACAGACGATCGGTTCAGCGATGGAGTGTCAACAGGTGCGGCATAGTCGGACGGGCGTACACTGCTCAAAGATTTAGGTTCGCCGTACTTTCTCAGTGATGGGCTAAGCGGGAATCGCTTAGCGTTTCTGGTCCCCTTTAAGCATTCACTACTGGGCACCTGGAAGTCTAACGTTTCGTACTTTTAGCAATTTTCAGAACCCGCAAAAAGCACGTACGTCATGCACCTGGGAGTCTAACCTTTCCTTATTCTGGCTCGCGTTCGAGTCAAACGCTGTGCGAACACTGCCCACGCACGGGCAAACGGCCGACCAGGCTCAAGCTTGTCCCGGCGGGTTTCGAGGCGTCTCAAACTCGGCTGGGTTCATGCTAACATGTGCTAGCAACCTCTAATATGAGTGCTCGTGCTTCTTCATGAGAGGCGAAGGCGGGCGTTGATCATTGACATGCGGTTTTTAGCGCATTGATTCTTTAGTCGGCTCAAAAGGTGACTTCTGAGTCGACTTTAATGTACCTTAGGAAAGAACTTGCGGTATGACTGCCTGTGTTTTTGCATGAAAGGCGAAGGAGCTCGTCTTTCATCGGCACAAGCGGTTTCCAACGAGCTGGTGCACGTTCAGTACTTGCTGCCTAAAACGTTACTTCTTCTTCCTTTTCCTCTCACGGTCCAGCATACGTCCCTGTCCATTCCTTCGTTCTTCCTGCTAATGTGCCAATCCGCTGCTAGGTGCACACGTCTGAACGCTCCTCCTGCACCCCCCACCTCCTTCCCCACCCCCTAACTCCGCTTCCAAACCACCCTATTCTCCCCTGCAGTGAATGTGTTGATTGCGATGCTCAAGGCGTGTGGCAGCCCGGCAGCCCTTCACTTCAACCCCGTTACGTAGCCGAGAACCCTTCCTCCCTCCCCCCTCCCCTCCCCTCCCCCCCCCCCCCCCCGCACCCCGCCCCCCTTTCCCCCCCCTCCCTTCCCTACTCTCTCCCCTTGCAGTGGATGCGCTGATTGCGATGCACAAGACGTGGGGCAGCCCGGCGGCCCTTCAGCCTTTCACTTCAAACCCCTTAACACGGCGGAAAGCTTCACCAACCCTCCCCACACTGCCCTAATCTCTTCCCTGCAGTTGATGCGCTGATCGCGATGCGCAAGGCGTGGGGCAGCCCTGCAGCTCTGCAGACGTGGCAGGGGGAGGACCCGTGCCAAGGGCAGTGGAGGGGCGTCACCTGCACCGATCGCACTGGAGACAGCTCAGAGAAGCTCTACATCAAAGCGCTGTGAGTGGGGGAAAGTGGGACTGGAGTGAATCAGAAAAATGAGGGAAAGTGACAGGTCAAGAGCAAGGGGGCAGTGGAGGGGCGTCACCTGCACCGATCGCACTGGAGACAGCTCAGAAAAGCTCTACATCAAAGCGCTGTGCGTAGGGGGAGTGAGTGCGAGGAGTGAGGGGGATTGAAGCAACGTCATTTGCACTGGGCGATTGCAGAGGGGTCAAACGGGCACTTCAGCTCTGCAGACGTGGTAGGGGGAGGACCGTGCCTGGGGCAGTGGAGGGTTGTTGTTACCCGTGCCGCAGGCAGCTCTGAGAAGCTCTGGGTGAAAGCGTTGTGGATGAGGGAAGTGGGGCTGGCTGGAGAGTGTGTGTGAGAAGAGTGAAAGGAAGGGATGTGAGTGACTTTTGAGTCGACTCAAAAGTCAAAGCGTTGTGAATATGAGGGGAGTGAGGCTGGAATGTGTGAGAAGAGCGAAGGGAACGGAAGTGAGTGGAGAAGAACCGGGGTAGTGGTGGAGGGAGGAGCGTCACCTGCACCAACTGCACTATGTCAATCAAAAGCTGTGAGTGACGGGAGAGAGTGAGGGAAGAGAAGGAATTGTGAGTAAGAAGGTTGAGAGTAGGTGAATGAAGCGAGTGAAAGGAGATGAATGAGAAGAGTGAGGGCAAAAGAGCGAGAAGAGCGAGTGGAAGTGGAGGGGCGTGACCTGTTCCCTTGCTTGCTCCCTTTTTGTCCGTTTCCCCATTCCTTCCCTCCCCAGAGAGCTTTCCGGCATGCGCCTGTCAGGGCCGCTCTCGCAACAAAGTTTCCTCCTTCCTCCCCCAATCCTCTCCTCCCCAGAGAGCTTTCCGGCATGCGCCTGTCAGGGCCGCTCTCTCAACAAAGTTTCCTCCTTCATCCCCCAATCCTCTCCTCCTCAGGGAACTGTCCGGCATGCGCCTGTCAGGGCCGCTGTCGACCAAGCTGGGAAAGCTCCTGAAGATTGAGAAAATGTGAGTCTAGATAGTGGTCTAATGTATGAGTACAGTGAGTGAGACCAGATGTGAGCCCAGCTTGGGTGTCTAGATGCGCCTGTCAGGGCCGCTGTCGACCAAGCTGGGAAAGCTCCTGAAGATAGAGAGGATGTGAGTTCAGCAAGCGAGAGAAGATGATGTGGTTTCCAGCAGCACCCTGAAAGTGGAATTTGAGACCTGGAGTGTCCAAGGGAGGCTCGTATGCCGAAGGAACACTGCTATTGCCTGTCCAGAAGATAAAGGTACCGCCAAAAAAAAACTTTTTACCGCCAAACGATTTCTCTACAAGAGACTTCAAGCAAACTTATTAACTAGCAACAATTTTTACAGTTGAATCAGTCGCTGCCACGTAAAGACATGGCTCTTATCTGGGGCTCCATTGGAACACTGCTATTGCCTGTCCAGAAGATAAAGGTTCGCACATCCCACAACGCGAACCAGAGTGGTTAACACACGCGTTGATGTGATCGTTGCGTGTTAGACGAGGCACTGCTTTTAAGTCTGAGTTTTTTCCACATGCGGCATCTGGTGTTTAGCGATAATATATCGTATTGTTGCGCGGTACTGAAGACACTGCTAGTTAGTGTCCGTCCATTTTCTGTTTAGCTTGCACTTCCATTTTGAAATGGTGAAAGCTTAGCATAGCCCCTCCCTATACCTGCACTGGCACAATTCCCTTCTGAGTCGACTCAAAACGAGGTGACTTTTGAGTCGACTCAAAAGTCTTCTGTTTAGCTTGCACTTCCATTTTGAAATGGTGAAAGCTTAGCATAGCCCCTCCCTATACCTGCACTGGCACAATTCCCTCTTCCCCGCACCTCCCTTCCTCACTTTCCCCCTTCCACACGCACATCTCCCCCCGCTCTCCTCCCCATGCTTCATTCTTCCAGCGATTTGTCCAACAACCGCTTCTTTGGCACGATTCCCCGGACCATTGAGAACCTGCGAGGCCTGCAGCACCTGTAAGTGGAATGAATGGTGGTGGCTGCATTCAACGTTCATAGGCTATAGATTCCTTTCGAGTTACCTAAAACGGACCATTGAGAACCTGCGAGCGAGGCCTGCAGCACCTGTGAGTGGAACAAGAAAGAAAGAACTTAATCAATGCACGCATGAAATGAAGATACCTTTTCTTTTTTTACCCCGGCAATAGAATGCTGTCGAAGCGCCTCAAAGCCGGACCATTGAGAACCTGCGAGTGCAGCACATGTGAATGGCATGAACGGTTAAACTTTTTGTTTCTCATTTCCCCACCCTCCCTCCCTCATTGTGTCGCACGGCTCCCCGCACACAGGGACCTCTCATTCAACTTAATAACAGGCAACATTCCCACACGAATCAAGTTCTGTCAGCAGCTCACGTTCCTGTAAGCATAGGATTCTTTTGAGACGTCTCACATCACAAGTCACTTGCGGAGACCTGTCATTCAACCTGATAACGGGCCACATTCTTACACGAATAAAGTTCTTTCAGAAGCTCACATTCCTGTGAGTGAGCCTCGTCCACACTGTTACCTGATTCTAAAGAATTTTTTCAAATCTCCTTTTTTTGTTTGTTTGTTTGTTTGTGTTTTTTTAAGCTCTCCCACCCACCCTCCCTCCCTTCCTCCCTCCCTCCCTCCCTCCCTCCCTCCCTCCCTCCCTCCCTCCCTCCCTCCCTCCCTCCCTCCCTCCCTCCCTCCCTCCCTCCCTCCCTCCCTCCCTCCCTCCCTCCCTCCCTCCCTCCCTCCCTCCCTCTCCACCTCCCTCACTCCCTCCCTCTCTCCCCTCCCCCTTCCCCCGCATCCCTCCCTTCCACCCCTTCCCCATACCCAACCCCCACCCCAGCGACCTGTCAGCCAACGATCTGAACGGCACCATCCCCGGCACTCTCGCACGCCTAACCAACCTGCAGTCGATCAACCTGGGCACCAACGCAAACCTCAACAGCACAATTCCACCGTCCCTCACCGCTCTCAGCTCCCTGCAAGACCTGTGAGTGACAGTCTGCGCGTCATTGGTTTGCACGCCTCATAAACCTGCAATCACTCAACCTGGGCACCAACGCAAACCTTAATAGCACGATTCCACCGTCCATCACCGCTCTCAGCTCCCTGCAAGACCTGTGGGTGCTCTTCCGCTTCTCCCCTGTAGCTGCAGCATGTTGAGCGAGTGCATGCTTAAGGAGCAGAGCAGATCCCTCTAAACATCCTCTTTCCTCACATGCACCCTTTCCCCCACTCCCTCCCTCCCTCCCTCCCTCCCTCCCTCCCTCCCTCCCTCCCTCCCTCCTGTTGCAACACGATGAGCAGAGCAGATCCCTCTGAACATCCCCCTCATTCCTCTTTCCTCACATGCACCCTTTCCCCCACTCCCTCCCTCCCTCTCCCCTGTTGTTGCAGCACGATGAGCGAGTGCAACCTCAACGGGCAGATCCCAGAAGACATTGGGAACCTCGTGGGACTCACCAAGCTGTAAGAGGGGGTGACTCGTGTAGTGGAGGGCTGAGAGTGGGGCAGTAGAAGAGGCTGGGAGCTGACTCTGTTCGATGCGTGGGGAGCCTGAGAGTTTTGAAGACCATCCAGTCTTTTGAACGACATAATCAATCTCGTGTGTGCTGTGCGCCCATCTTTGCGATAATTTTTCTCTCGTGTCAGATCGTTGGAGAAGAACATGTTAGAAGGTTTTGCATTGGCGTGGCGCCTCAAAATGCGCTTCTCCTCATTCCCCCTTGGCCGCCCTTTGCACATCTGCTGCCCATTCCCCCTTGACCGTCCCTCCAATGTCAGAGCTTTGGAGGAGAACAGCTTGGAGGGGTCGATTCCATACTCCATCACTCAGCTCACCAACCTGCAATAACTCAGCTCTTTCCTCTTTAAACATCCCCCCATTCCCCTATTATATCCCTTTTTCCTCTTGACCGACGTTCGTGTCAGAGCGCTGGAGGAGAACAGCTTGGAGGGGTCCATTCCAGACTCCATCACTCAGCTCACCAACCTGCAGCACCTGTGAGTGCCTGCCACCACTGCCACAGCAGACTAGTTCGTTGGGTTCTTACCTACCTACCAAGAAGATCCATTCCACCTGTTTGTGCTCCGCCCATCACTCCCATCAATTACTTTTGAGTGGACTTTTGAGTCGAATCAAAAGGCACTTCGTTGGCTGCTTACCTACCAAGAAGAACCATTCCACCTGTTTGTGCTCCGCCCGTCACTCCCATCACTCCCATCACTCCCATCACTCCCATCACTTGCCTCCCTTCCCTCCTTGACCTCCCTCCCTTTCCTCCCTCACCCCCATCCCTTTTAACCCTTCCCTCTGCCGTGCTCAGGTCGCTAAGTTTTAACCATCTCAACGACACGGTACCAGAAGGGATCGGAGCATGCACGGCCCTCACAACTCTGTAAGCTCTCGAATCTTCTGATTTGATGCGCTTCAATTCAAAGCTCGTCTCCTGTACGTGCCTTTGAAGCACCGCATGAGGCCATTCCGTAATTCTGAGATTTTGAGCCGAGACAAAGGGTTGGAACTTGGAGCACGCACTGCCTTACCTTGGAGGCGCGCCTAAAAAAAATATTGAGTAATGACGAAGGGTTGGATGGAGCATGCAACAAGCAAGCAAGCAGCAAAACTTCTTGTTGCACTGCCCTGACCACACCACTCTGTGAGTTTTGAGATCACAGCAAGCAGCCACACTGGTAAGCGTCTAACCCTCACCTCACCCCAACTCACTCCCACCCTCTTGCCCTTATTCTTCCGACAATTACCTCTCCTTCCTACCTTCCCGCATTCCCTCTTCTTTTATCCCCCTCCCAGCTTTCCCCCTCCCCTCCCTCCTCCTTCCCTCCTTCCCATTCCTCTTCCCCTTCCCCCTTCTCCCCCCCTCCCTCCCCTCCCCCCCCCCCCCCAGCATGTTGGATCACAACAACCTCACGGGCAAGGTGCCCTCTGCAATAGCTTCCCCTAGAACAGTGCATGTGCCTCTTCCCCCCTCTCTTCCCCACCACCTTTCTCCCCCTCTCTCTCTCTCTCTCTCGCTGCCCAAGCTCACGTGCCTGCGCATGCATGCAGTACAACCGAGCTGACATTTGAGTACCCACTCATGCCATCTGCAATAGCCTCGCTGCTCAAGCTCACGTACCTGCGCATGCATGCAGCACAGCCAGCTCTACTCGGCACTTGGTTGGGCGGCTGATGTATGGGATGGGTCTCGCTCTCAACTCAACCTCCATCTCCACGGAGAGGAGGGGTGATAAACTTTCAAGGAGCGCCTTTCCACTTCCCTCTCCCTCTCCCCCTCCCCTCCCCCTCCCCAACCCCTCCCTTCCCACCCAGCATGTTGGATCACAACAACCTCACGGGCAAGGTGCCTTCTGCCATAGCCTCGCTGCCCAAGCTCACCTACCTGCGCATGCAGTACAATCAGTTCTATGGCGCGCTGGGCCTTGAATTCAAAGAGCATCTCAATGCGTAAGTGTGGCTTTTATTGCCTTTGATGTGAGTCTCGAGTCGATTCAAGCATCACCTCACCTCACCTACCTGCGCATGCAGTACAACCAGTTCTACGGCGCTCTCAGCCTTGAGTTCAAGGAGCACCTCAATGCGTGAGTGTGGCTTCTAGTGGCTTTGTATTTCGAGTCAACTCATCAGATAACTACCTACCTGCACGTGCAGTACAACCAGCTATACGGTGCCCTCGGCCTTGAGTTCAAGGAGCTGTGAGAATACGAGTTATGAATGAAGTTGATAACTTGATTGAGAATCATGGGGGTATACATAGTAATGGGGTTGGATGCTAACTTAAGGTGACATTATTGGACCCCAACCAAGAAGTTGGGTTGGGAGATTATTGGTGGGGTCCAATAATGTTGGCCAAGTTGGGGTTGGGCCAACATTATTGGAGGGGGCCAATAATTCTACCCAACCCAACCTTTTGGGGTCCAATAATTGGACCAAGGTTGGGTTCCAACCTACAAACTGGGTTACCCCTGTTTGTACACCCAAACTAAGTTTGGGTGCTTAACTCTAGCCTATCCTATAGCATATATGCAGGTTACAACAGGAGAGGGATTCTAACAGGAGCACCTCAATGCGTGAGTAGGGGCGGTTTTTAGCGCATTTGACTCTTGTGAGCCGACTCAGGGATCAGCTCACGTACCTGCGCGTGCAGTACAACCAGTCCTACGGGGCTGTTCGGCCTCGAGTTCAAGGAGCACCTCAACGCGTGAGTGTTGCTGCTGCCAGTGCCTTAGAAGTAGAATCTCGAGTCAACTGAAGAAGAACCAGGAGGATCACCTACCTGCGCGTGCAGTACAACCAGTTCTACGGTGCCCTCGGACTCGAGTTCAAGGAGCATCTCAACGCGTGATGAGTGTGGCTTCCTTCCAGTGCCTTTGGTCCTCCAGTCAACGTGCATTGAGGTCGTTTTTGAGGCGCCTAAAAAATGTCGCTTCCTTCCAGTGCCTTTGGTCCTCGAGTCAACGCAGAGTGTTTTTGAGAAATCTTATAAAAACACCTCATCAGCTCATCTACCTGCGCATGCAGTACAACCAGCTCTGCGTGCACAAATCAACCAGCATATAATTCCTCATGACCATGGTTTTTGTGTTTCCGGAATGTTACCCCCTCCTTTCGCACCCCCTCCTTTCGTCCCTTGCCGCCTTCTCGCCCATCCCAGCTTCAAGAACAATCCGCAACTCTGCGTCATGTTCACAAATGACGGGCGGTGCCGCCCAGTGCCAATGGACCCGCCGCCCCTGCCGCCCGTGAACAGTATCGTGCGCAAGCCGTGCGCAGTGGGGCAGGTGCAGCTGTGCCACTGCGACAACGGGTGGCCGGGGGAGAGCGTGTGCATGCCTGGGGAGGGCTACGCTCCATGCCAATGCCGCGAACGTGAGTGTCTTGGGGTATAGCTTGGTGCAAGGCAGGATGCAAGGGTCTGTGCATGGGACAGATGCAGCTAAGCAGGTGCAGGTGGGCAGGTGCAGGTGGGCAGGTGCAGCTGGGGCAGGTGCAGCTGGGGCGGGTGCAGCTGGGGCGGGTGCAGCTGGGGCGGGTGCAGCTGGGGCGGGTGCAGCTGGGGCGGGTGCAGCTGGGGCGGGTGCAGCTGGGGCAGGTGCAGCTGGGGCAGTTTAGGTGATGTGTGGGGCTGGTGCAGCTGGTGTGTAAGCATATGCACCGTGCAACTTGGGGAGGTCGCCCGCGTGGATCGTCCCTCACCTCACATACTCTACCTCATCATCCCTACTTGGCCTCTTCTCCCATCTCACCCTCCCCCTCCCCCTGCCTCCCCCCACTTCTCCGTTCCCTCATATCACTTTGACGCGCAGGGAGATAATGACCTGTCGCCCGCGCGGATCGTGGCTCACGCTCTCGTTCATCCCTACTTGGCCTCTTTGCCTCATTTTCCCTTCCCCTCCGTTCCCCTCTCTAACCCTTCCCCAGAGCACTTTGACGCACAGGGCGACGACGACCTGTCCCCGGCGTGGATCGTGGCTCTCTCGCTGCTCGCAGTCATCATGTTCACAACGCTTCTCATCTCCTGCATCTGGTGCCTCCGAAACCGCGCCCCACGAGAAACAAAGCACTCCGGGCCGGGCGAACAATTCTCGAGAAGCCTCATAAATCCTCCCTTTCTCCGCTCTCTACCCCTCTCTTTTCCCCTCTCTCTCACGCGCTCCCTGCCGGCCCGCACCCACACACTCTGTTTCTGTTTCTGTTTCCCCAGAGCACTTTGACGCGCAGGGAGACGACGACCTGTCCCCCGCGTGGATCGTGGCTCTCTCGCTGCTCGCAGCCATCATGTTCACAACACTTATAATCTCCTGCATCTGGTGCATCCGCAACCGCGCCCACAACAAGCGCACTGGCCAGACGGGCTGGGGCTTTAGTGCGTCCAGCAAGTCCAGGTGGGTGGAGTGCGGTTGGGAGTGGTGGGGATTTCTAGGTGAATCCTGATTCAGCAGCTGTGCTCTCCTGCATCTGGTGCATCCTCAACCGCGCCCACAACAAGCGCACCAGACGGACGGGCTGGGGATTTAGTGCGTCCAGCAAGTCCAGGTGGGTGGATTGGGGTGGAGTGCAGTTGGGAATGGAAAGGATTTCTTGATGAATCCTGAGTCGGCACCTGTCTTTCATTCAGTCAATCCCTCCGGCTCCTTCCCTCCTTGCCCTGCATCCCAACCCAAGGCCCTTGTCCCTTTGCTGCACCTTTTCCCTTTCCCACCCCGCAGGGCCTACCGCTGCTGCTGCCTCCTCCCCGTCACCCTCTGCTGCCCCTTCTTACCTTGCATTATGGTTCATCTCTTCTCTCTCCAACAGCCCAACCCCACTCCACCCCACCTTACCTACCAGCACCTGTCAGTCCCACCAGCCACAGCCACCTTCTCGCAAGCGCTGGACCCCGACGATGCGTACAACTTTGCAGCAGAAGTGGCTCTTTTTTTTCTCTCTCTCTCTCCACCCCATCCCACAGGGCCGACCAGCACCTGTCCGTCCCTGCAACCTCTGCCACGACCTTCTCCCAGGCGCTGGACCCTGACGATGCCTACAACGTCGCAGCAGGGGTTATGACTCATCTATTCTCTCTCCACCGCACTCCACCCCATTCCACCCCATCCCACCCCTCAGGGCCTACCAGCACCTGTCCGTCCCTGTAACCTCTGCCACCACCTTCTCCCAGGCGCTGGACCCAGATGATGCCTACAACGTCGCAGCAGGGGTGCACCCGGCTTCCTCTGCTTCCGCTGCTGCAGGCTCCTCTGGCCTTGCTGCCGCCACCTCCCCCTCACCCTCTGCTGCCATGGCCTTTGCTATGAAATTCGGCCGATCTATGAGTGAGTTCCATCCTCTCCTCCCTCCATTAGTTCTCTTCCTTCAGCTTCCTCTGCCTCCGCTGCTGCACGCTCCTCCGGCCTCGCTGCCGTCACCTCCCCCTCGCCCTCTGCTGCCATGGCCTTTGCTATGAAGTTCAGCCGATCTATGAGTGAGTGCCCTTCCCTTTCTTCACCGTCATCCCTCTCGCTCCCTCATTTCCATGCCCTCTCCTTGAATGAGTGTCGCTGCAGGGTGTTTTTGAGAATTCTCAAAAAGCAGCGAAGAGAATTCTGCAGAATGAGTGTCGCCTGCTTATTCCCTTCGCTGTGAAGTTTTGTCGTTCCTTCAAGTCCTTCACTTTTCTCACTTTCATCCCTCTCTCTCCCTCACTTCCATGCCCTCCCCAGCTTTCCTTCGTTTCCTCTCTCTCCTTGCTCCCTCCTCCCTGTCCCCCTTTCCTGCCTCCTCTCTCACCATCTCCCCCACTTCTCCTCTCTCTCCCAGTTGCTCCTCTTCTCATTTCTGCTCTCACCCTCTTTTTTCTCATTTCTCCTCCCTCACCCTTCCTCATCTCACACCCACACCCTCTCCCTTCTACTCTCGCCACACTCTCCCTTCTCTACCACTCATCAGTCTATTTTTTAGGCGCCTAAAAAATAGACTCTCGCCACACTCTCCCTTCTCTCCCTTCGCCACACTCCCATCAGTCTCTGCAGGAGCGGCAGACCTGCACAGGCCGGACCCCTCGTCACTAATCGCTCAAGCCCTTCTCTCTGGAGGAGCTGCAGCTCGCCACGGGCAACTCATCACAGCTGCTCTCTGATTTACATACGCACACAATCCGCCGCTGTCCTTTGTCTACCCCCTCGCCTCCCTTTCCTCTCTTTCCTCGTTCCCTCAGCTGTGGGCGCCTCGCAGTCGCTCAAGCCATTCTCGCTGGAGGAGCTGCAGCTCGCCACGGGCAACTTTTCCCCGGATCACCTCTTCGCCCAGCGGGAGCACAGCCTGCTCACATACAGGCACGTTCGTTATAGTCACATCCTGCTTACCTATAGTCACGTCCACTATAGCCACGGGCAACTTCTCCCTGGATCACCTCTTCGCCCAGCGGGAGCAGAGCCTGCTCACATACAGGCACGTTCGTTATAGTCACATCCTGCTTACCTATAGTCACGTCCACTATAGCCACGGGCAACTTCTCCCCGGATCACCTCTTCGCCCAGCGGGAGCACAGCCTGCTTACATACAGGCATGTTACGTTCGTTATAGTCACATCCTGCTTTCCTATAGTCACGTTCACTATAGCCACGGGCAACTTTTCCCCGGATCACCTCTTCGCCCAGCGGGAGCACAGCCTGCTCACCTACAGGCACGTTCGTTATAGTCACATCCCGCTTACCTATAGTCACATTCACTATAGCCACGGGCAACTTCTCCCCGGATCACCTCTTCGCCCAGCGCGAGCACAGCCTGCTTACATACAGGCATGTTACGTTCGTTTTAATCACAGCCTGCTCACCTACAGGCACGCTACGTTCGTTTTAGTCACAGCCTGCTCACCTACAGGCACGTTACGTTCGTTATAATCACAGCCTGCTCACCTCAGCCTGTTCACCTACAGTCGTGTTCACTATAGCCACGGGCAACTTCTCTCCGGAGAACCTTTTTTGCCCAGCAGCCTGCTCACCTACAGGCACGTTGCGTTCGTTTTAGTCACAGCCTGCTTACCCATAGCCTACAGGCGCTGTTAGCCTGTTATAGCCACAGGCAACTTCTCTCCGGAGAACCTTTTTGCCCAGCGGGAGCACAGCCTACTCACCTGCAGGCACGTTCGTTTTAGTCACAGCCTGCTTACCTACAGGCTGTTTTGTTGTATCCTTCACCGCTTGCTCCTCACCTACAGGCGCTTTCGTTATATGAACACAATACCTACAGGCACTTTCGTTATCTGCACACAGTACCTACAGGCACTTTTGTTACAGGCATGCTCCCCGATCGCAGCTTCATAGCGGTGGCTCAAGTGGACGTGCTGAGCTCAGAGCCCCAAGAAACCTTTGCCTTCCCCTTGTCCCCTGTCCCACCTCCCCTTCCCCCAACCCCCCGTGTCCCGTTCCCCCAGGGGCATGCTGCCAGACCGCAGCTTCATGGCGGTGGCTCAGGTGGACGTGCTGAGCTCAGAGCCCCGAGAGACCTCTGTCTTGCCACCCCCATGTCCTCTTTCTCACTACCCCCTCTGTCCCCCGCTTGTCCCATGCCCTAACCTCCAGGGGCATGCTGCCAGACCGCAGCTTCATAGCTGTAGCCCAGGTGGACGTGCTCAGCTCAGAGCCCCGAGAGACCTTTGCTGCCCTCCCCCATCCCTCCTCTCTTCGTCCTTGTTGCACCACCTCCAGGGGCATGCTCCCCGATCGCAGCTTCATTGCTGTAGCTCAGGTGGACGTTCTGAGCTCAGAGCCCCGAGAGACCTTTGCCGCTGCCCTCGACGTGTTTGCGCGCATGCAGGCGGGAGGGGCTGCAGGGGGCGAGGGGGGAGGGGGAAATGGGGATGGGAGCATGCTGCTGAAGGTGTTGGGGTTCTGTGCGGATTACCTGAGAGGCAGCCGCATGATTGTGTATTCCCTCCCGCCTGGCGCCGCTACTCTCGAGACGTACCTGCACGGTGAGAAGCGGTGGCAAGCGGTGCTGGGGTTGCTTGCACAGTGAGAAGCGGTGCCGGGGAGTGTTCCGGCTTGCCTGCTATTAAGGTATTGGGAGTGAGGGAGGCGGTGGTGGCGGGAGTGGGAGCATGCTGCTCAAGGCAGGGGGTTCTGTGCAGATTATGTGAGAAGCGGTGAGAAGGGGTGCTGAGGTGTGCCTAGGGTTGCTTGGCTTGACTGCTCCCATTTCCATGACCTCCCTCCCCCCATATCCATTCTCCCCCAATTTACTGCCCCTATCTCGTTGGACCAAGTACTGCCATGCGGCCCATGCCATAGGACGTGCATGTTTGAGGTTCAGGGTGTGCCCATTGCCATGCCCCTCTCCTCCCATCTCCTTTCTCTATCCCCATCTCCATTCTCGTGCAACAGACTCATTGGACCGGGTGCTCCCATGGAACGTGCGTGTGTCCATAGCAAGGGATGTGGCGGAGGGGCTGCGCTTCTTGCACTCCCTCAACCCGCAGGTGAGAACCCTTAAAGCCTCTGTATTTTTCGAGCCCGCAGTTGATTTTATGTGTGATGATAGCACGTGGAGCATGCAAGGGATGTGGCGGAGGGGCTGTGCTTCCGTCACTCCAACCCACAGGTGAGGCTCGCTTATGCTCCCTCCCTCACTACCATCAGTCCTTGTGATGTAGATATTTTTTTTGTCGACTCAAAAGCTGACTTTTGAGTCGACTCAAAAGTCAGCTCACTACTACCATCAGTCTTCGTTGATGCAGATACTTTTGGAACTTCTCCCCCTGTCTCGTCGGTGCGACTTTTGAGAATTCTCAAATCAGTCTTTGTTGATGCAGATACTTTTGAAACTTCTCCCCCAGTCCTGTCGTGTCCAAGTAATTCCCCTCCCTCTCCCTCTGCTCGGCGCTCATTTGCTCTCTGCTCTTCCCTCCCTCTCCATCTGCTCCTCTCTCCCTTTTTCTCTGCCCTTCCCTATGACTCTTGTTCACCAGATGACCCACCAGGACCTCACATCCACGTCAGTAGTAGTAGCACAGGACTCAACAGCCTATCTCTCCGACTACTGCCTTCAATCCCTTGTGCACCTATCAATCAATCCCTCTCCTTCCTCTCCTCACTTTCCTCTCTGTCCTCCCTATTTCATCAGATGACCCACCAGGACCTCACATCCAACTCAGTGGTGGTGGCCCGGGACTCAACAGCTTGTCTCTGTGTACCTCTGCTTATCACCATGCCTCCTCTTTCCAAAGATGACCCATCAGGATCTCACATCTACATCAGTGGTGGTAGCACAAGACTCATCAGCCTATCCCTCTGACTACTGCCTTCACTCCCTTGTGCACCTTTCAATCCCTCTCCTCCCTTTCCTCCCTGTCCTCCCTTTCCTCCCTCTCTTCCCTTTCCTCCCTGTCCTCCCTTTCCTCCCTGTCCTCCCTGTTTCACCAGATGACCCATCAGGACTTCACATCCACATCAGTGGTGGTGGCACAGGATTCAACAGCCTATCTCTCTGACTACTGCCTTCACTCTCTCGAGCTCCTCGCCTCCAAGCCCTCTGCCATGCCCGCTTCCTCCGTGGTAAGCCTGAATACCTGCTACGGTAAGGCCCTGCTCCGTGGTAAGCCTGAATACCTGCTACGGTAAGGCCCTGCTCCGTGGTAAGCCTGAATACCTGCTACGGTAAGGCCCTGCTCTGTGGTAAGCCTGAATACCTGCTACGGTAAGGCCCTGCTCTGTGGTAAGCCGGTGCTCCTGTATGGTAAGCCCGCCTTCCTTTCACTCTCTGATGTCTCGCCTAGTCCGTATCGACTACTTCCTTCACTCGCTCGAGCTCCTCGCGTCCAAGCCCTCTGCCATGCCCGCTTCCTCCGTGGTAAGCCTGCCTGTTCATCTTCTAATTGCACTCGCTCACTGATGCCTGGTCCAATGTAATCACTACTGCCTGCCTGCATTCTCTCATGCGTGACCTGACCTCCTCGCATCCAAGCCCTCTGCCATGCCCGCTTCCTCCGTGGTAAGCCTGCCTGTTCATCTTCTAATTGCACTCGCTCACTGATGCCTGGTCCAATGTAAGCCTGACTCTCCTCCAGTGTAAGGCCTTGGTTTGTTTGGCTACCTCATTCTGACGCCTGCCACGCCTTTCACTACTGCCTGCCTGCACTCTCTCGACCTCCTCGCATCCAAGCCCTCTGCCGTGCCCGCTTCCTCTGTGGTAACTCTGAATTCCTTCTAGATTAACGCCTTTCGTTCGTTCTACTTCCCCATTCTGAAGTGAAAGACTGTCAGTTCTCACTTCTGCCTATCGGCACTCCCCGTGCCCGAGCTCGTTTTGAGTCGACTCGAAAGACTGTCAATTCTCACTTCTACCTATTGGCACTCCCTATGCCCGAGCTCCTTGTGCCCAAGCCCTCCACCATGCCCGCTTACCCTGTGGTGGTGAGTCCGACCTTCCTCTAATGTAAGGCCTTTCTTTGATTGACTTGCTCATTCTGAGGCCTGCCTTGCTCTTCGCTACTGCCTGCGTTCACTCCCTGGGCCTCCTAGCATCCAATCCCTCCCAGGCGCTTGCAGCAGGAGCAGTGGCACCGGAGCTGGCATGGGTTCATGAGAGCACGGCTGCCCCTTGTGTGCACCCCACCCACACAACCCCACTGTCTCTCCTCCCTTCCAACCAATCCTCCCCCCAGGCGCTAGCAGCAGGAGCAGTGGCACCGGAGCTGGCATGGGTGCATGAGAGCACGGCGCGCACTGACATGTACGCCATGGGCGTGCTGCTGCTCGAACTCGTCACTGGGAGAAGGCCGCTCGACCCCTCCTTACCTCCCACCGAGCAGTCCCTCGTGCGCTGGGTGAGTGATTTGAAGTCCCTCGTGCGCTGGGTGAGTGATTTGAAGTCCCTCGTGCGCTGGGTGAGTGATTTGAAGTCCCTCGTGCACTGGGTGAGTGATTTGAAGTCCCTCGTGCGCTGGGTGAGTGATTTGAAGTCCCTCGTGCGCTGGGTGAGTGATTCGAAGTCCCTCGTGCGCTGGGTGAGTGATTCGAAGTCCGGCGTGTTGGCCTCTCAGGCAGGTTTCTTTGGCCCTTGTGCGCTGGATGAGTGATTTGAATTGAAGCACCATGTGTGCTCTCGAGTCTCAAGCTCATCACCAGCAGGAGGCCGTTTGACCCTCCCCTGCCGCCCACCAAGCAGCCCCGCGTGCGCTGGGTGAGTGTCCGCCTCCCAGGTGCATGCCATGAGTGATTTGATTGATGCCATGGGTGTGTTGACTGCGTGTGCGCCGGGTGAATCACAATGCCGTTTTCAAGTGCAAGTCCTCCTTACAGGTCAGTAATCTGAACTTCCTCCTTGCTGGTTCTATCCGAGTTTCGCAGTGCATTTGGGAAGTCTGCAGAAGCGTAAATTGACTGCCCTTCTCACTCCCGCAGTCAACCAAACCTCCTACCTTGCCTGTCATTCCCCTCTCACCCCACACTCTCTCCTTCAGTTTCCTCCCTCCTCCTTCCGTTTTCCCTCCTCCCCCCTCCCTCTCCTCTCTGTTTCCATTTCACTCGCTCACTCACTCCCACTTCACCATTCCCTTCCCTCCCTCGCTGCTCTCCCCCAAGCAGCGCCGAATCTGATGAACCACTTCCACTTACCCACCCGACTCCTGCTTCTGCTAAATTCCCTCCTTCCTCTCTCTCCTCTCCCCCAGGTGAAGCCGAAGCTGATGGACCGGGCCAAGGTGGAGGCCAAGGTGGATCCGAAGCTGCAGGGGAGCTTCGCCCTGCCTGCCCTGGTGGAGATGGTCAAGCTCGCCGCGCGCCGCCTGCTGCCCGATCCCGAGGAGAGGGCTCTCCTTGGCTCATGCGTCTTTCCTCTTCCCTCCCTCCTCTTCCCTTCCTGCCTGCCCTGGTGGAGATGGTCAAGCTCGCCGCGCGCCGCCTGCTGCCCAACCCCGAGGGGAGGGCCTTCCATTCCCCATGCGCCCACCCACAACGGGCCAGGTCGGGCCGACCAAATCTCACCCTGTCTGATCCCACACTCTGCACTTTTTCCCTTCCTCCCCCCTCCTTTCTCCCTCGTTTCTCTCTCCCTCTCCCCTCTCCCCCAGGCGAAGCCGAAGCTGATGGACCGGGCCAAGGTGGAGGCCATGGTGGATCCGAAGCTGCAGGGAAGCTTCGCCCTGCCTGCCCTTGTGGAGATGGTCAAGCTCGCCGGACGCTGCCTGCTGCCCGACCCCGAGGTTCGGCCCACTGCCGCAGCGGTGGTGGAGATTCTCGATGCACTCGTGGTGCCGGGCGCTGGGGAGGAGTTTGGCAACGGCGGCGGCGGCAGCGGGGTGAGTAGGGAGACGGATGGGAGAAGCAGGCACGGTGTGCAGTAAGAACGGGTGAGATCTGAGCATGGTGTGAGTAGGATTGGAGTGAGAAATGAGTGAGTATGGGAGGTTTGAAGCTCGCCTCGCGCTGCCTGCTGCCCGACCCTGAGGTGCGGCCGACTGCGGCGGCGGTGGTGGAGGTGCTTGATGCACTCTTGGTGCCGAGCGCTGGGGAGGAGTTCGGCAACGGTGGCGGCAGTGGGGTGAGTGGGAGCAAGGTGGGGTAGAACTGGGTGAACAATATGAGCCAAATTTGGGTAAGAATGGATTAAGTCATGGGTAAGCTAGGTTGGTGTTTTGTCAGCGTGGTTATTCACCCTTTCCTCCATGTGGTCCTGCTTTCTGCGATTTGTTTTGTTTCGGTGCTGTGTATCGTTGTTTGCAGGCCTATCCGCACCGAAAGGATTTGTAAAAAAAATGTAAGTCGGCCTCATTCTATCCTAACAGATGCTGCAGACCGCAACAAAGATGATATGGATGTGTTGATGTTTTTTGCGAGGCACTCCAGAGTAAATCAGTCAAAAAACGCACTAAGTGAGCCTAGTCAGTTTTCCCAAGTTAGGCGACGAGTATCTTGTTGCAACAGCACTTAGAGCTAGGTGCTTCTAGAACTTTTTGGGAACATGCATGGATGTGCTTTGCTTAGGAGTTTTGGGAAATAATGAAGAAAACGGTGGGGAGTATTGACTGTACTAGAAGTGAATATGACCTGCGCCCCGCACTTCTCCTGGAATCGTGGATGGACAGCGTGGCGAGCGGAAGATCTCCCACGTGGACCACCTTGTTCACTCACCACCACGCATACAGTCGTCAAGATTCGTAACACCTTCGCAGACCAATTGCTCTTCCCTACGAGGTATGCGAGAGGCTTCGCACGTCGTCATGAAGGTGGAATTCCTCATGAGCTGCTGGTGGATTCTCGAAACAGAATTCGTTTTCACAAAACCATCAGAAATCTTGAGCAGCTCACCCAGAACCAAGTCTCGGCACGCCAATCTCGAGGCTCCTGAATTCCAACCCTCCTGCTCTGCACTCAAGTTCCCTTGACTACGTTGTGCAGCTTCATGGCAGCTCTTTCTTCTGCCGCGACACGGCTCCCTTCCTCCAGCCTTGCATCGCTTTCTGGCGTTTCCGGAAATAGCTTGCAGACGAAGAGTGCTGCTAGCGTAGCGGGGAGTAGCAGGGGGCTCCGACAAGTTGTTCGTGCCGAGATGGGAGGCGGTGACCAGCCTTCGAGCTCACAGGTAAGCACAGTCTAGCTTCGAATCGTAACCTTTTGTTTGTTTGTTTGTTTGTTTGTTTGTTTGTTTGTTTTTTTTTTTTTTTTTTTTTTTTTCACTAGGTTGTACTCGTCCGCGATATTGTGCTTTTGTGTTACTGGTTTCCTTTTTTGGTTTTTGGTACCGATGCATGCGCTGTTTTCGTCAGAGCAGCAACGAATGCAGTGAATCGCAATAAAGCGTTCCCAACATACCTGCCATCCTTACCTTCCTCTCTCGTAGGCGGCAGCGTCGTCATCTAACGACATCCGGGCACCTGAAAACTTTGTGCCGCCCGAGCCTAAGCCATTTTCCGTGGCAAGCGGGCAGCTGGGAGCCGTGATTGGCGCATCGTTGCCGATCCTCTTCCGCCTCGGCACGGGCGTGTTCAGTGAAGGGTAAGGCTGAGTTTTTCCTTAGTAATCGTTTTGTTCCGCCCTGAAGCTGACGATATGCTTTTGCCGTAATCGTCGCTGTTGAAGTCTGCATTCAAGCCGACTCAGAAGTTCAACCTATTTCTTTCTTTCTTCCTTGTTCTTCCTTGTCCTCCCTCTCTTTCAATGTCTGCATGCTGCCAGGTACAAGGCCAAGGTGGAGTCGTCATCTGCAGTGAAGGACGACACCTAAGCACGTACAAGGCCAAGTGGAATCATGTGTTTAAACTTCTCGCTTCCACCCCTTCTCCTTGTTTTCAACGTCCGCGTGCTGCAGGTACAAGGCCAAGGTGGAGTCCTCGTCTGCAGTGAAGGACGAGGATTATGCACTGGGGCCAGTCATGGGTGAGTAGACTTCGGATAAATATGCCACGTCTCAGGACTGGACCATTTCGACGCTTTTCATCCTGGTGTCACCACCTCACTGGGCCTGACTTGAGTCGACTTTAATTCCAACCGTAGTCAGTATTTGCTGTGACTTAGAACTCGTGCGCAGTGAGTGGCGAACTAGCACCATGCGCTAAGACCAGTCATGGGCGATTAGAGCGACAAACATCAACTAGTGACTACACTCCAGTCATGACTTCACTTTTCGTTGCAAGTGGAGAGTGACTGGACAATCACAATCCCAATCACAATCACAATCCATGATTTAGGCAATAGCACTCGGGCTGTTGTTCTATTCAATAGTGTTGAAGTGGTTGAAATAGCACCCTCATTGCCTCACACTCGTCCACTGCAGGGTACAAGCTGGTGGAAACCACCACGGGCGAACTGAAGCCGGTGACCCAGCCCATCGAGATCTACGAGTTTGAAGGGTGAGTTAGAATCACTCCTGTTGGTGAATTGCACCGCTGGCAAAGGGATGATCTTTGCTTGCAGTGCAGCTTGCTGGCTTCTTAATGCAGGTTATATGCCCTTTCCTCCCCTCTCCATACTTCATCCGTAACTTTTTCTTTCATTCGTTCGTGCCCTTTCCTCCATCGGTTGCTCATAATTCAAGACGTAACCCTTCTGTGCCCGTTCGCTATTGTAGATGATGCTTCCGCTTTGTCTCACGCTTTTGCCTTCCTTTCATGCCTCTGATCCCCCATCCCCTCCCCTTCCCCATCCCCTCCCCGCCCCCATCCCCTCCCCTTCCCCATCCCCTCCCCGCCCCCATCCCCCCGTCAATCGCATCAACGTCGCTGCTCGTTCTCGCCCTCGTGCCCTCCTGCTGCTGCAGCTGTCCCTTCTGCCGCAAGGTATGCTGCATGCACACACCATCACCTGCCCCTGCTTGTCCCTTTCTTGCCCACTGCCTCCTGCCTGCCTGGGAATCACTTTTGAAAATTCTCTGAAGTGGGAATTCTCAAAAGTGACACCATCACCTGCCCCTGCTTGTCCCTTTCTTGCCCACTGCCTCCTGCCTGCCTGCCTGGCCCCTTGTCGTGCTCACGAGGTGACTTTTGAGTCGACTCAAAAGTCATCACCCAGCGGGTTGAAACGTGTGCGTGCTGCCCCCGCATAGTTGCACCACTTTTGAGTCGACTCAAAAGTCATCACCTGCCCCTGCTTGTCCCTTTCTTGCCCACTGCCTGCCTGCCTGCCTGCCTGGCTCCTTGTCGTGCTCACCTGCCCCCGAACCCGCCAACGCCAATCTCTAACCCCCCAGATCGGTGAGATGGTGTCAGTGTTCTCAGGCGTGCTGGTCCTAGGTCCTAGGCGTGCTGGTCCTAGGCGTGCTGGTCCTAGGTGTGCCCTTCTACCCATGCCCTGTCAATGCATGCACTCCCACCCACGCCCATGCTTTTCGTGCCATCTCCATTCCCGCGCCTCACGCCACCAGAATCCACCCCTAACTCTCCCAGGTACGTGAGATGGTGTCAGTGCTGGACCGAGACGTGTTCCACTGTGCATCCCCCGTGAATGGGCCCATGCCATTGCTTCACATGGCCTTGCTTTGTTGTATTTGTTTCTCCCCTTCGCTTCCCTAACTCTTTCAGGTCTGTGAGATGGTGTCAGTGCTGGATCTAGACGTGCTCTTCTACCTGTGCCCCGTCAGTTGGGCCCAAGACCATTCTGTATTTTCCTCACCTCCCTTACCCCTCCCTGCCCACCAGGTCCGTGAGATGGTGTCAGTGCTGGATCTAGACGTGCTCTTCTACCCGTGCCCTGTCGATGGTCCCACATACCGACCCAAGGCCATTGAGATGGGCGGCAAGAGGCAGTTCCCTTACATGGTATGTCACATGCATAGCACACTCTGCATTCTGCATGCTGCATCCAGCACTATGCATTCCGTAAGGGCACAAGATATTACACATGGCGTAATGCTTACTTCGTCCCATTCTTCCACTGAGCAACTACTCACTCCTGCCCATTACAGGTGGATCCCAACACGGGAGTGAGCATGTACGAGTCGGATGAAATCATCAAGTACCTCGCCAACACGTACGGTACGTGCCTCGTCTTTTAAGGTGGCGATTTAGTCAGATGTTTCGCAGTTTTGAGGCTCCTAAGAGGTTGAGAAAGGCTGAGCTTGTATGAGTCGGATGAAATCATTAAGCTCCTCACCAACACCTACGGTATGTGCCATGTAGCTGAATAGGAGACGGAGTTCGTATCCCTGAATATTCTTGATTTGTGGCATCTCTATGAATAGTCACTTATTGTTCTGGAGATCGTAACTGATGTGAAGACCCACACAATGTTGAGGAAGATTGCAGCCTATTCTGTGTCGCTAATCGTTTCCCCTGTTCCTCCACCCCGCAACCCAACCACCCCCTCCCCCGTCCTGCAGGCAATGGTTCCATCCCTCTCATGCTCCAGCTTGGCCCTATCACTGTAAGTGGTTGATTATGCGTAGCATGAAATCATCAAATAGGGAACCTCACACACAGAATTTCAAACACAAAACAGAACCCACCTCGACGGGGCCTAACAGAGTGAATGTCAGAAATGTTCTCCATCAGCAGCGCCGCTCTAACGTCGTGTTTAAGTGACTGGACTGGACTGCACTACATCCAGTGCAACACACTGCACGGCATGAGAAATAGACATGCCTTGTTTCCGTACTCTCACTCCCTTTCTCACGCCTTGTTTTCACCCCGTTTTTCACCCCATTCTTAATCCCGTTCCAACCCCATGTTTCACCCCATCTCTTCCCCGCCCATCTTGTCAGTCCATCACTGCTGGCCTAGCAGGCATTGGCCGCGCCATGAAGGTATGTCCTCATATTCCCTTCATGATTCTCGATCCTTTAAAATTCGTTTTTTTTTCTCATACAAGATCCGTCTTTACATTTTTCCTCTCTCTCTCCCTTGTCGCTCTGTGGTTGACCCAAGAACTGAATAATCTAATAGTGCATGCTTTTGCATGTCTCTTTCAATGGTTTTACAGCTTAGACTCAATTCTCTCTCTTTCTGATTAGCCATCCTTGGAGTGAACTCCACACCAATTACCGCCACTGGCATTGATATCTAGTTCTTCTGTGTCCGCCTGTCTTCCACTCCACTGTGCAGGGAAGCCGCTATGTGCCGGCAAAGATGCCGCCCCAGCCACTGGAAGTGTGGGCGTATGAGGTGCGTTGGAGGGGGGGGGCATTAGGGTTTATGTTAAGGCCTGGGAAGGCAGATGAGTCGAGGGCAGGGAGGATGTGAGCGTTCACACGTGGTGAATGTGTTCTGACTGCTGTGCTATGTGCCGGCAGACTGACTGCTGTGCTATGTGCCAGCCAAGATGCCACCCCAGCCACTGGAAGTGTGGGCGTATGAGGTGCGTTGTAAGCATGGGGCATCTCATGTGTGTGATTGGTGTCCCCTGATAATTATGGTTCATGAGTGTGTCACTAGTACCGGATTGTACACACTAGGTGGGTGTGCTCTGATTGTTATGCTATGTACCGGCAAAGATAACGCCCCAGCCACTCGAAGTGTTTGTATACGAGGTGCGTTGTAAGCGAGGGGCATTTCTGTAAGTGATTGCTCTGATCCGATCAGTCTCTGATGGTTCAGTCTCCGCGTGCTCTGACTTGTATGCTATGGTGTGCAAAGCCCTCTGTGAACTGGACCTATCCCACGCCTACCACACATGAATGAGGTACCTGACCTACTTGCTCCTTCCCCACACGTGTGCGCCTTCCCCACACGTGTGCGCCTTCCCCTGTGCCCCACTACCTGTTGTCTCTTCCATCCTTGCAGCCCTCACCCTTCTGCAAGCTGGTGCGTGAAGCTCTGTGTGAGCTGGAGCTGCCACACATCTACCACGCGTAAGGCACCACTCGTCCCCCCCATTCTATCTTCATAATTGTCCACCTCGTTATTATACATGTTTACCTTCGTAGCACCTACCCACTTGGTCCTTCAAAATTCTCAGATACCGATTTCGCCCACATGCCCCTACCCACACGGCACACTGAGAGGCAGTCCCAAGAGGGAGGCGCTGAATAAAACGAGTTTCGTTTAACATCTCTTCAAATGCTCCTACTCGAACTCAACTTGCAAATACCAACTCTGCCCACATGCCCCCACCTACACAGCACACCAAGAGGCAGTCCCAAGAGGGAGGCTCTGAAGAAGAGAATAGGGCGCTTCCAGGTGAGCCGGCATTCGCGTTGTTAGAGTGGGTTGCTTGTGTGGCAATGAGGTGCTCGGTAGTCCCACGCAGTACACCGAGAGGAGGCTCTGAAGAAGAGAATCGGGTGCTTCCAGGTGAGCAGGCATTACTGCTGCTAGGGTGGGTTGTGTGTGCCTGACCACATATCCACCGAGAGCTCACTTCAGCTAGTTCCAATCTGCAGGCATTGCTGCTGTTATGGTGTGTTCGCCGTTGTCTTAGCATACACTGAGTGTAAATTGTGACTGACTGGAGTGTGGTCAGGCAGTGTGTGCTTAAGAAGAAAGCCGGCCACTTTCAGAATAACCCTTTTTTCCTTTGCAACTGACGCACCATCTTTTGTTGTGCTCCTGCCCTTTTCAATGGTTCTCTTGTGTTCTTCAATTGCTGCTCTCTCTTGAAGACCCCAACACAGGAATGGAGATGTTGCGGAGTGCAGCTATTGTGCAGCGGTCTTTGATTCCTTTTTCTCGGTGTTCCTACCTGTTCTTTCTTGACTGTTCTCAGGCCCCCTATCTTGAAGACCCTAACACAGGAGTGAAGATGTTTGAGAGTGCAGCAATTGTCAAATACCTATATGACACCTATGCTCTCAACAGCCCTTGAAATCAGCACTACGCTATCGAAGGTATGATCAATTTGCCCTGTATGTGCACAGTATCTTGTGTTGATATTTCAATTTGTAGTCTGTTGAACATTCCATTCATAGTCTCCCACCTACTCCTGTTTACGCCGTCTTCCCCGTTTCTGCATGTGACAGGTGCATGCATGGGCATGATGAATGTGCCATTAATAATAGTACAGTACCTGTGTTGTTTAGTTTGGGTGCTATTTAAGTAAGTGGTGTGTCCTGCTCGTGTTTTATGGAAACAGTAGCTCTAAATGGGTGCTAATAGGAGGGGATGTTATGCAAAAAAAAGAAAACCATCTCGCCGATAATAACACAATCTATGAACTACGCCTATCTCCATTATGTAACACCATTCGGTGCGCACACCAGCAAATCTGATTTTATCGAAGTTTGTCAACGGTCATGTCACATTCACTTCGCATTGACATGAGTGAAACGATCAAGGAGGAACGCGCCCTTCAAGCCGATGAATTTTTTCAAGTGACCGTCAGGTACCGTGCTTTACCGCACGTGGAACGTTGGAGCCAGCTTCACTCGTAGGAACTGTCGAAGTTAACGCTTCGTTATAAGCCGTCCCGGTTTGCAGCGTTGACCTTGTTTCTGAGACCGCCGTGTGACATTGCCATTCTGAATTTAGAAATGCTGTCGTCCGCGGACGTTCCGCTTGCGCCTGCTGTAGATTCCGCGGATGTCCCCCCCGCGCACATCGCGCCCTGCGCGTACGAGTTGTGGAATGACAGCCGGGGGAAGGAAATGCTCCGCCACACGGACGAACTTGCGCCTTTCCGCTGGTCCTCCAGGTGCGCCCTAACCTTCTTCCCCACAGTCTCCCCCCACAGTCTTCCCCCGCCCTTTCCGCTGGTCCTCCAGGTGTGCCCTAAACCCTGGCGCCATTTCCTCCCCCTCCTTCCCTTAACTTCCCCTCCCACCATTCTCCTCCCCCCCCCCAACCACATCCCCCCCCCCCGCTGCCCCCTTCTCCCCTCCTTGCCCCTCACCCCCTGCGTGACTCATCCGCAGAACCATGAGACAGTGTTTGTGTTCCGCCCATCCGCTCCCCCTCGTCCCCCTTCCTCCCCCTTCTCCCCGCTCCCCCGTTTCCCCTACCAGGCTGTGCGCAACTCATCCACAGAAAGAACCATGGGCCAGTGTTTGTGTTCCCTCTCCCAACTCCCCACCTTCCTCCTCGCCCTTCCCCTTCCCTTCCCCTCCCTTCCCCTTCCCCCTCAATTCACCTTCCTTTCACCCCACCCCTTTCCCCTCAATTCCCCTCCTTTCCCCCCACCCCTTCCCCCTGAATTCCCCTCCTTTCCCCCCACCCCTTCCCCCTCAGGCTATGCACAGCCCATCTGCAGAACCGCCCGTGGCAAGCAGTGCACGCGTTCTATGCCAGCCTGGCAGCAGGACACGTGGCGCTCTCTGATTTGTCCAAAACGATGCTTGATCATTATGAAGAGATAGCAGATGATAAGCAGAGTGCAGCAGAGAAACAGAGCGTGCCTAATGAAATCACTGCTGCTTCAAGTGAAACTGCTGCAACTGAGACTACAGTTGCAGCTGCTACTGGTGCTGGTGGTGGGAAGAAGTCTTCTCAAGGAGGCAGGGACGGCGCATGGGAGGGGCGCAGCACGGTGCGGTTGGTGGTGGCATACGATGGAGGGGCTTTCCACGGGTACCAGAGCCAGCAGGGCGCAGTGACTGTGCAGAGGTATGATGCGGTGGTGTGCGGTGGTGTGAGTGGGAGACCCATGCGTTTGTGGGAAGAGGGCAGGCAGCTGGTGCGGGGGGAAGGTTCGCGTGGGAGGGGCGCAGCACGGTGCGGTTGGTGGTGGCATACGATGGGGGGGCGTTTCATGGATACCAGAGCCAGCAGGGAGCAGTCACGGTGCAGAGGTATGGTATGGTGTGGTGCTGTGCAGTACTGTACGGTGCTGTGTTGTTCTGTGTGGTGGGGTATGGTGTGGTTGTGCTAAGAAAGCCGCTGGGGAGAGCAGGGGCGACGGGTGGGAGTGGGAGGGGCGCAGCACGGTGCAGGTGGTGGTGGCATACGATGGAGGGGCGTTCCATGGGTATCAGAGCCAGCAGGGAGAAGTCACGGTGCAGAGGTGTGTGGTGGGGTACTGTGCGGTGGGGTGCAGTGCAGAGGTGTGTGAGGGGGTACTTGATGGGTCACCAGGTGTGCTATGCGGCACTTAGCAATTGTGGCATACGATGGGGGGGATTTTACGGGTACCAGAGCCAGCAGGGAACAGTGATAGTGCAGAGTGTTTGGTATGGTGTGGTACTGTGCGGTGGTATGGTGTGTGGAGGGTTACCATGTGGTGGTGGGAAGAATGCATTTGCAGGGAGCAGGGGGGGAGGGTGGGACTGGGAGGGTCGCAGCAACGTTCTTTGAGAATTCTCAGCCGGTGGTGCTGTGTGGTGGGTGGGTTATGGTGTGGCTGTGGGCAGCGGGCAGCGGGCAGCTTGGGGTGGCAGGGTGGGAAGTTTTGCAATCTTAACACCACCATCTAATCAGGGGAGTCGCAGCACGAGACAGGGAGGGGGGAGGGCGGGACTGGGAGGGTCGCAGCAACGTTCTTTGAGAATTCTCAAAAAACAGATCCAGCTGCTGGTGTGTGGTGGGTTATGGTGTGGCTGTGGGATGAGGGAAGCTTGGGGGAGCAGGGGCGCAGGGTGGGACTGGAAGGGCCACAGCACGATGTCGGAGAATCATCCTCTGTTGCATCCCGTGGCTTGCATCCCGCAGGGTGGGAGTGGAAGGGCCACAGCACGAAACCAGGAGGATGCAGGGTGGGTGGGGCTGGGAGGGTTGCAGCAACGTTCAGCTGCTGGTGTGCGGTGGGTTATGATATGGCTGTGGGATGAGGGCAGCTTGGGGGAGCAGGGGCGCAGGGTGGGTGGGACAGGGAGAATCGCAGCACGAGACTGGACCAGAAGGGTAGAGGGTGGGATTGTGTACTGTATACTGTGTATACTGGCTCCTCCCCCTTTCTCCAACTTTTTTCTGTCCCCCATTGGCCCCATTTCCCATCCCAACCGTCCTCCACCAGCACTTTAGAGTCCGCCCTGGCCCCTTTCTGCGAGCACCACCCAAAGAAAAAAGAGAAGGGGAGGGCGAGAGGGCAGGGCAGCAGCAAGGCATGGAAGGAGATTTTTTTTCCCTTTCCCCACCCCTTTCCCCTCACCCACAACCAGCACTTTAGAGTCCGCCCTGGCCCCTTTCTGCGAGCACCACCCAAAGAAGCAGAAGGGGAGGGCAAGAGGGCAGGGCGGCAGCAAGGCATGGAAGGAGCGACGAGAGAAGAAGGGAGGGGTGCAGCGGAGGGAGGAGGGGCAGGAGAAGCAAAGGGAGGAGGGGCAGGAGAAGCAAAGGGAGGAGAGGCAGGAGAAGCAAAGGGAGGAGAGGCAGGAGAAGCAAAGGGAGGAGGGGCAGGAGAAGCAAAGGGAGGAGAGGCAGGAGAAGCAAAGGGAGGAGAGGCAGGAGAAGAAAAGGGAGGAGGGGCAGGAGAAGCAAAGGGAGGAGGGGCAGGAGAAGCAAAGGGAGGAGGGGCAGGAGAAGCAAAGGGAGGAGGGGCAGGAGAATGGGGACTTGGAGAGTATGAGGGAGGAGTGTGACAAGGAGGGTGGGCTGAAGGTTACTACAAGGGCAGTTTTGAGACGTCTCAAAAACACCCTCTCTACGAATGGGGACTCGGGGAGTATGAGGGAGGAGTGTGACAAGGAGGGTGGGCTGAATGTTACAAGGGCAGCAGTGGTGGTGGCGGGGAGGACGGACAAGGGCGTGCATGCAGCAGGGCAAGTGTGTGCTTTTCGTGAGTCTCCTTTGCTTCCTTATGTGGCATTGCTGTCTCTGTTTGTGTGTGTACGTCCATGCGTGCATGTTTTCCCCGTTTTTGTTTCCTTTGCCCCTTCTTTTCCCTCTCTGTCTGTCAAAGCACCCGTTCTTGCCCTCTTTTCTCCCACCCTTTCTCTCCCACTCTCTCTTCCTCCTTGTCCCACCAGACACGTGGAAAGACCCCCTTGATCTCACAGCGGTAGCTGCGGCTGTCAATGCAGACATGTGCTATCACCCTCGCCTTCTCACCTCCCCTCCCTTCCCCTTCCCCCTCACCACCACTCACACCCCACCAGACACGTGGAAGGACCCCCTTGATCTCACAGCAGTAGCTGCAGCTGTTGATGCAGACATGTGATATCACCCTCTCCCCCTCCCTTCCCCTTCCCCCTCACCACCACTCACATCCCACCAGACACGTGGAAGGACCCCCTGGATCTCACAGCGGTAGCTGCGGCTGTTGATGCAGCGACTGAGGGAAGCCTGAGAGTTATCCGCATCTCAAAGGTACCTCACTTTGAGAGAAGGGGGCGGTTGCAGTCTCGTGATACCCCCCACCAGACTCGTGATACCTGCAGTGACACCCCCCACCAGACTCGTGAAAGGCTATTGTGCCACTTCTGAGAATCTTCAAAAGTTACTCCTTGGATCTCACTCATATGGTCTCGTTTTGAGTCGACTCAAAACATCTTCAAAAGTGACTCCCTGGATCTCACTCATATGCTCTCTCTCCCTCTCCTTTAACTCTCCTGTCCCTTTTGAGGCGCCTCAAAAGTCACTCATATGCTCTCTCTCTCTCCCTCTCCTTCAACTCTCCTGTCTCTCAGGTCCCTCGCTCCTTCCACCCACAATTCTCTGCAACGACAGCGTGCTTTGAGGCGCCTCAGAAGTCGCCTCAAAAGTCGCCTCAGAATTCGCCTCAAAAGTCGCCTCAAAAGTCGCCTCAAGAGTCGCCTCAAGAGGCGCCTAAAAAATTCTCTGCAACGACAGCGATGCGCATCAGACTGCCGCACTCAAATCCTCTGCTCTCTTTCTCTCTTCCCGTTCCCTTTCCCTCCCTGCCTGCTCCTCAGGTCCCACGCTCTTTCCACCCTCAATTCTCCGCTCGCTGGCGCCGATACCTCTACCTGCTGCCGCTGCTGCCGTGGGAGGGGTGCGCTGTAGAGCAGGAGGCAAGGCATTCCCCCACGGAAGCGGCGGGAGCGGCGCTGGGCACGCTGCCGTGGGAGGGGTGCGCTGTAGAGCAGCGCCGTGGGATGGGCACACTGCCGTGGGAGGAGTGCGCTGCGCACTTCTCCCACACGGCGGGAGCGGCGATGGGCACGCTGCCGTGGGAGGAGTGCGCTGCGCACTTCTCCCACACGGCGGGAGCGGCGATGGGCACGCTGCCGTGGGAGGGGTGCGCTGAGTCAAGGCAGCACTGCCTCTGCGCTGTAGAGCAGGAGGCAAGGCATTCCCCCACACAGCGGTGTGCCTGCGTCCAGAGACCGAATGGCACAGGGAGATCAGAGTTTGAAACAGGTTCGGATTGCCTTTTGGCTCGGAGTGGCTTCCGTGCCTTGCCTCTTGGCTCGGAGCCCTTACAACCGGAGGGCAGAAGTGTGTTTGATGGAAGGGTAGCTGACTTAAAAGGAGGGCTGGAATGCAGTCCACGTGCCTTGCCTCTTGGTTCAGAGGTCTTACAAACGGAGGGTTTGAGCGCGGTTGAGAACACTACTTGGCGATTGCCTCATGCTGCGCCTTCGTGTATGGAGCAAGGGACAGTGGAGGAGAGTGGGGATGGTGAGGGAAGGGATGTGGCAAGGTGGGAGGAGAATGGACAAGCGGAGGAAAGACAGGGGATTATTGCGGGTGGTGTATGCGATTCGTGTGCCCGTGTTGAGACGGCATGTGTGGCTGTTTGGGACCCTTACGATGCGAGATTCATGGGAGAACCTTCTTTGGGAGAAGCGCCTTTTGGGTCATCCCAAGAGGCGATGAGAGTGCAGCGTGCGGGGGGTGAAAGTGGTGGCGATGCTCCTGCTGCTGCTGCTGCTGCTGCCGATGATTTGAGGGGGGGGCATGTTAATGGCAGCGATACGCGTGTTCCTCAGGCAACTTATTGCTTCGCGAGCACTAAATGCCTGACTTGCTGTATCGGTCGACATGGCAGCAGCAGCAATAGCGTCAGCAGCAGCAGGGGCAGCAGCAGCAGCAACAGCAGACATATTGACAGCAGCTTGCCCAGCAGCAATGGAGCTGCACCGTTCAAGCCAGCGTGCATGCATGTGCCTCGAGCAGCATGCACCAGCACCAGCAGCATCAACCACAGCAGCAGCAGCAGCAGCAGCAGCAGCAGCAGCAGCCTTATTGGCAGCAGCAATGGAGCTGCACCATTCAAGCCAGCGTGCATGCATGTGCCACGAGTGCACACCTTGCTCCATGCTCTGGAGACCCATACACGCGCCCATGGCCCTGCCTGCTTCCGTGCGTTCGCCCGCGACACTGCTGCTGGCAGAGGCAGGTGAGGAGGGAATGGGAGGTGGAGTAGGTGGGGTGGTGGTTGTGGGTGCACATTCCCCTGCATGCTTTGGAGACCCATACATGTGCCCGTGGCCCCACGTGCTTCCGTGCGTTCGCCCGCGACACTGCTGCTGGCAGAGGCAGGTGAGAGGGGAGGGGTGGGTGTGTGTGTGTGTGGGTGTGTGTGTGTGTGTGTGTGTGTGAGTGGGTGTGTGGGTGTGTGTGTGTGTGTGAGCAGTGAAGCGTCCAGCAACTATCCAGAGTCGCATTCTTCTACATACTCTGGAGACCCATGCACGCGCCCATGGCCCCGCCTGTTTCTGGGCGTTTGCGCGTGACACGGCTGCTGGAAGAGGCAGGTGAGGAGGGCAGGTGAGAGGGGAGGTGAGGAGGGGAGGTGAGGAGAGGAGGTGAGGAGGGGCGGTGAGGAGGAGAGGTGAGGAGGGGAGGTGAGGAGTGGAGGTGAGGAGGGGAGGTTGGAAGAGGACGTGTGACGAGCACGTGGGTGTGTGTGAAGGGCATGCAGTGGGGAGGTGGGGCGCGGAAGTGAAGTGCATGCATCACATGTGGTGGAGTGGAGTGGAGACGTTTCCATGCATGTCGTAAGCATATGTCATGCTCTTGAGACCTACCCTACCCGCAAAAAGTGAGGCGATTTTTCACGCCCACCAGCAATCATGGCTCCCCAAATGGTCTTGCTCCTTGTACGTTGCATTCCCCCACTATTCCCTTTATTAGCGGATCCGCTACAGTGTGCAACATCTTGCGAGCACGAGCCTTCGAAGCGCGCTTGCCGGTTGCTGCAGAGAAAGCTGGTTTGGCGGGAGCAACACTTGCAGGGGGAGCAGGAGCAGCAGGGGCAGTGAGAACAGCATTTGCAGAGGACCGTTCAGAGGGCGTGTCAACAGGAGCAGCAGGAGCAGCAGGAGCAGCAAGAGCAGGAGGAGCAGCAGAAAATACAGGACAATCTTCAGCAGCAGGATGCTCGCGTGTGCTGTGCGTAGAGCTGGTGGGAGACAGATTCTTGCGACGGGTACGTGTGCAGCAATGGATCAACCCCCCCTTTCCCACCTCCCCCTCTTTCACCACCTCCCCCACCTTCCCAAAACACACACACATGCACACACACACTCCCCACAGGCACGCTCCTTTCATAACTTTGTTTGCCAACAAATGCTTTAATCAAGGCACACTGCAATCTTCATCGGGTCAAGAATGACATTTGAGCTCACCCTGTTTTCCTGTGCCTCCCGACCAATCAGATGGTGCGAGTGCTGGTGGCAACGGTAGTGAGAGAGGCAGTAGCAGGGGGAGGTGACAACCGTGCCTCCCAACTTTTGCATGTTTGCGTTCACCCATACTCACCGCACTTGACCCCTCCTCTCACCTCTCCCTCTTTTTTTTTTTCTATGCAGATGGTGCGGGTGCTGGTGGCGACAGCAGTGAGGGAGGCAGCAGCAGGGGGAGGTGACGACTGTCTGCTGAGACTAGCAGCAACAGGGGAGAGGCGATCCACTGCTCCCCCTGCCCCTGCTGCTGGGCTGTGCCTTGTGGACGTGGGCTACAGTGATGCCTTGCCACCACCTTTGTGATTCCACATAGCAGTATGCCAGGGCTGGCAGCAACGGGGGAGAGGCGATCGATTGCCCCTCCAGCCCCTGCTGCTGGGCTGTGCCTTGTGGACGTGGGCTACAGTGATGCTTTACCACCTCCGCTAAAATTAAATATGCTATAGCATGCTAGGGCTGGTGGCAACAAGGGAGAGGCGGTCCACAGCTCCCCCTGCCCCTGCTGCAGGGCTGTGCCTCGTGGACGTGGGCTACAGTGATGCCTTGCCACCTCCGTTATGACGTAATGATTGCTGAAGCTGGCAGCAACAGGGGAGAGGCGCTCCACTGACCCCAATGCTGCAGGGCTGTGCCTCGTGGACGTGGGCTACAGTGACGCTTTGCCACCGTTGATTCGATACAGGGGCTCATTTGTCAGAAAGCCTTTATCATGTGCCTCGTGGACGTTGCCTACAGTGACGCCTTGCCTTGCCATCATTGTTGTGATGCGATATAGGGGCTCATTTGACAGAAAGCCTTTATCATGTGCCTCGTTGACGTTGGCTACAGTGACGCCTTGCCTTGCCATCGTTGTTGTGATGCGATATAGGGGCTCATTTGACAGAAAGCCTTTATCATGTGCCTCGTTGACGTTGGCTACAGTGACGCCTTGCCTTGCCATCGTTGTTGTGATGCGATATAGGGGCTCATTTGACAGAAAGCCTTTATCATGTGCCTCGTTGACGTTGCCTACAGTGACGCCTTGCCTTGCCATCGTTGTTGTGATGCGATATAGGGGCTCATTTGACAGAAAGCCTCTATCATGTGCCTCGTGGACGTTGGCTACAGTGACGCCTTGCCTTGCCATCGTTGTTGTGATGCGATATAGGGGCTCATTTGACAGAAAGCCTCTATCATGTGCCTCGTGGACGTTGGCTACAGTGACGCCTTGCCTTGCCATCGTTGTTGTGATGCGATATAGGGGCTCATTTGACGGAAAGCCTCTATCATGTGCCTCGTGGACGTTGGCTACAGTGACGCCTTGCCTTGCCATCGTTGTTGTGATGCGATACCGTTTAGGGGCTCATTTGTCAGAAAGCCTCTATCATGTGCCTCGTGGATGTCGGATACAGTGACACCTTGCCTTGCCACCTTTGTTGTGATGTGATGTAGAGGCTCATTTATGACCAAGCCTTTATCATGTGCCTAGTGGACGTTGGCTACAGTGATGCTTTGCCACAACCGTCATAGTTGGTTCGTATTACTGTATATAACGAATGAATGTTATTGTTGTAATGTGGGTGGTAGAAGGGAACAAACAATATACACTTGTCTCACAATGATAGCAGCATGTCAGAATCGTCCCTGAATGCCATGGCCTGCGCATGGCAGGGCAATGAAAACAAGTCAGATAACAAGCCCTCTTGTAGCATGCGCATCGCAGGATAGTCACTGAGAAACCCAGCGCTGCCGACAAGTCGCACGCTACGATAACCTTGTACCGGGACACCTTAAAACGAGTCACTTTATAGCATGCGCATGGAAGGATAGTCACTCAGAATGTCATGCGCTGTCAACGAATCAGATGGGTCTTGTGGCGTCCACAGCACTTCCACACCCTGCAGTGGAGAGCGGTACAGAGCGGTATGAAGGCAATCTATTATGGTAGAGGCAGGTAGAGGCAGGTAGCGGGAAGATTCATAAACGTAAGAACAATCAAGAGAGCCAAGAGGACGGTCCACATAACATAGACCCTCATTCACCTGCCCTGCCCCACTGCCCACTCACCTCTCTCTCTCTCTCTCTCTCCCATCTTTCTCTCTCACACCTGCTCATCTCTCTCCCATCTTTCTCTCTCACACCTGCTCACCTCACTCCCATCTCCCTCTCTCTCACCTGAAGCTCGTCAATGGGGATCGAGCCCAGTCTCGCAAGCGCCTCTTTCAAAGAAGCTGCGGATTTGACTTCGGGCAGGTTGAGGGTCCCCTCACACGCTGCTGTGATGGTCACCTGCCCGAACATGATCAATGAAGGGAAAAAAAAAAAAAAAAAAAAAAAAAAAAAAAAACACATATATCAGAGAATTAGAGATTGGTGAGGAGGATAATGACAGCCGTGGAGGGGAAAGGGACTAACAGCTGAAATGGCTGATACAGAAATGCTTACTGGCGTATAGTGCAGGACTTAGTCAGCCGTAAAAAAACAAATGAATCCCCACTCACCATGATGCACTCGTTGAAGCTCCATACACGCCCCACCCCTCTCTCACTGAATACCACATCGTGGTATTCAGTGGTGTACCCACGATGTACTCTGTGGAGCTTTTTTAGTCGACTCAAAATTCACCTCATACACGCCCCACCCCTCTCTCACTGAATACCACATCGTGGTATTCAGTGGTGTACCCACGATGTACTCTGTGGAGCTTTTTTAGTCGACTCAAAAGTCACCTCATACACGCCCCACCCCTCTCTCACTGAATACCACATCGTGGTATTCAGTGGTGTACCCACGATGTACTCTGTGGAGCTTTTTTAGTCGACTCAAAAGTCACCTCATACACGCCCCACCCCTCTCTCACTGAATACCACATCGTGGTATTCAGTGGTGTACCCACGATGTACTCTGTGGAGCTTTTTTAGTCGACTCAAAAGTCACCTCACACACGCCCCACCCCTCTCTCACTGAATACCACATCGTGGTATTCAGTGGTGTACCCACGATGTACTCTGTGGAGCTTTTTTAGTCGACTCAAAAGTCACCTCACACACGCCCCACCCCTCTCTCACTGAATACCACATCGTGGTATTCAGTGGTGTACCCACGATGTACTCTGTGGAGCTCCCCTCCTGCTGCACCGTGCGTGCCCCTCTCCTCAAACTACATCTGAGCTTGTACTTTCGCGTTTTACTCAAACTTCAAAGGGTTACAATATTTTCTAGAGAGACTATCGTCTTTTGCTAAGACATCCCCTCCTACTGCTGCTCTTCTTCATGACAAGCACTGAGCCCACACTCATCACAATGTATGGCGCTCCCCTCCTGCTGCACTGCGTCGTGCGGACGCCTTTTGAGTCGACTCACAAGTCGGGCCCGCATGAAACCCCCACCCCACTCATCACAATGTGCTCGGTGGAGCTCCCCTCCTGCTGCACTGCGAGGGCGCCCCTCCTTTTCTGCCATGCTGCCTTGAAGCCAGACTCACATACAAGACAGCCCAACCCACCGAGCCCCCCACCCCACTCACCACAATGTACTCGGTGGAGCTCCCCTCCTGCTGCACCGTGCAGGAGAAAAGCCTGGAGGCTCGAAACGCATAAATTCCTGAAGGGAGAGAGGCCACACTCACCACAATATACTCAGTGGCGCTCCCCTCCTGCTGCACCGTGCGTGCTCCCCTCCTCCTCCTCGCCATGCCGCCCCCCACGTTCACCACCGTTTCTTCCTGGAACTTTCTCCGCTCCTCCATGCTCGCCCGGTTGAATGCTGTCTCACCAGAATTGGCATTGGGGTACACAGCACTCTGCAATGGTTTGAAGGAGGGAAGAGGAGTTGAAAGGGGGGCAGAGGGGTGGAAAAGACACACTTCTTCGCCTCCTCCATACTCGCCCAGTTGAACGCGGTTGAATGCGGTTTCGCCAGCGTTGACATCGCGGTACACAGTAGACAAGAATGGTGTTGTTGCGGGGAGCAGGCAAAGAAGAAGGATGGGATTTAATATCAATATTATTATTATTATTATTATTATTATTATTACTAATATTTTTCTCCGCTCCCAGTTGAACGTGGTCTCACCAGCGGTGGCATCACGGTGCACAGCGGACTGGAGCGGTGGAAAAAATATATGAAATTCGTACTGACCCTCCACCCAGCGTGGTACACAAAAAAAAAAAAAAAACGAAACAAGGTATAACCGAAGTGTTACAAAATGTGTCACATGGTAGAGGGTGTATGGAGTAGATGCGTACAGAGGAGAAGCCATAGACGCAGTAGTCAGGATGACGCAGGAGAGCAAGAATGGTCTCTGGAGGTGGGAACAGATGGGTTGGAAGGGGTGGTTTCAGGTGGTTGGGGTGGGTGGAACAACAGAGAGGCAGAGAGGGAGGGGAGTTGGTGAGGAATGCAAAAGATGGGGGGCAGCTCTGATCTGAACCTTGCAGCAAGCAAGTAGTGCAGCCCATCCGGGGGAATGAGTAACTTAATACCAGAACTTAATTTGCACAGTGCAGCCCATCCAGGGACGTCACATCCGCTCGCTCTGTTATTTTTCCCTGAACAGCAATCACACAAAGCACACACGCCCGCACGCACGCACGCACCCCCCCCCCTCTTTTCTTCCCCACCTCCCTCCCCCGCACACACATGTACACCATATGCCCACCCCGTGTGTGCATTGTGTGTGTATACCCAATCCACACCACCAGTTCACACCTTTCAGCAGGTAGTGCAGCCCATCTTGGGAAGTCACGTCCGCCCTTCCAGCTCACCTCTTCGCATCAGCATTCATGCAATATATACACATGCATGTGATACACATAGACTCTGTGTGCGAATCTTGTTTTGAGGCGCCTCAAAACAAAGACCCTTCCAGCTATTCTCTCCGCACCAGCATTCATGTGATATAATCTCATGCATGTGATAGATGTAGACTCCGTGCGCGAATGTGCAACCACACCACACCACACACACACGGTTCACACACCTTGCAGCAGGTAGTGCAGCCCATCTTGGGATGTCACATCCGCCCCTTCTGCTACATGCGCACATGCATATGATATGCCTAGACTCTGTGTGCTAATGTGCAACCACATCACAAACCGTTCACACACCTTGCAGCAGGTAGTGCAGCCCGTCTTGGGATGTCACATCCGCCCTATCCGCTATTCTCTCCAAGTCAGCGTTCACAAGCACGCACACATGTAAATCTCCATGTATTTGTGAACCACTTCACACACCTTGCAGCAGGTAGTGCAGCCCATCTTGAGATGTCACATCCGCCCTGTCTGCTATTCTCTCCAAGTCAGCTTGAAGCCTGCGCGCTGCCCCCAGCAACCCAACCTGCCACGTGGGGTAGGATGGGTAATAAAATCGCTTACTAACCAGTCTCGAATCCACTTACTAAATTAACGTGGGCGGCAAGGCAATGGATTCACTTGATTACTATTGAATTCCTAGAGAGATTCAAATTACGATCAGGAAAACACACTCTAGCAACTCCGTCTGGCAATGACGAATATGCAATTTAGAAATAACGAGCGAAAAAGGCCCTGGGAATAGGAACACCGCACCGCACCGCTCTGCACCCACCTGTAGCTGCACCACACTGCACCGCTCTGCATCTTCCAACTCCCTGTCCTCTTCCCACTGTCCCAGAAACCCTCGAACCGTTTGCACTAACGCGTATGTCACCATCCCAAACACCAGGAGATTAAATATCGTCCCGAACGCGCCCCCTCCGCCACTCCTTCCCCCCATGTTAATCGTTACGGCGGGGCGCGGGGCGAAGGGGGACCATCCCCCGCCCCATCCGCCCCCCCACCCCCCGAAGAAGGGGGAAGGCGCAAAGAAAGGCGCAGATGGCGCAAAGAAGAAGTTCCGCGAGGGATTGGCGGAATAATGGCGGGATTGGTACGAGGAGGAAGAGGAGGGGTTCGAATAGGAGTAAGATTGCGATTGGCCTGAGCGCGATTGCGAGCGGGAGCGCGAGGAGGAGGAAGAGGAGGACGAGAAGGCGCTTCCGCCGACGCGCCCACCGGATTTCGCGGCGTGAGCGACGCCGGGGAGCGACGCGGCGAGGAGCAGGCAGACGGCGAAGGTGAGAAATGCGGGCTTGACTGTAACGGATGCGAGTTGTGACTCTAACGAGGGGAGGTTGAGCGAGCGGAGGGGAGCGAGAAGAGAGGCGAGCGCGTCGCGACTGAGGGATATTAGATTTGTTAAGAGTGGAATGAACTTTAGGAGAAATAAGTTGAAATGGTTAGAGAACGATGCAACGGAGGGTTGGTCCTGCGGTTGCGCGGCGGGGATCACGGCGGCTTGTGCGACGGGAATGGAATTCGCGACGGGAGTAGCATCTGCCACAGGAATAGCTCTGGCTGCAAGTGGGGTTGCCGAGGTAGACGGCGACGTCGGCAATCTCAAGGCCTCATTTGCCGAATTATCGTTACTGCTAGCCGCGAGGACAACGGCAGGCCCGCGCCCGTGCACCCGCCTTTCCGGACAAACTTGCCGTTGACTCGTTGACTGAGGCGCGCGTTGACACGTTGACCAGTGGTGAAGTGATGGAAGGAGCTGGCGAATCAAGCTACAGCCTAGCTGGGCTCTGGAAGCAGCGACACGTGGCGAATTTCCACGAGTCGCCTGAATGCATGAAGTCTTGGAGGAGATCGCTAGAGTTGGAGAGGAAAGGCCCGTCGCTCCAAGGACAACCGTGGCTGAAGCCATTCGCACGACCAGCTAAGGCTCGCTACGCGGCTAGATGAACGGAGAGGCCACGAAGGCCAACTCGCTGAGATAATGGATTGAGTAGGTAATTCGCTGTTAAAGATTATGTGGATTTTTCTCCGACTGAATTCTGCAATGACTTCGTAAGGGAGGCTATGAAGTACGTAGCGTTAACTATGACTGGGGTCGGGACGCGGAATCTGCTCGGGACGCGAAATCTCGCACCTTCATAGCCGAGCGCGGAGTTAGGACGCGGCACCTCTAGGGAAATTGTCACTTGGTAGGACGCGGAGTTAGCAAATATACTACTACCAAGTGACTGTCTGACAAACTCTGATGATGGATCAGTGCCGGCGGTGTTGCATGTGGACGGAGATTTCCTCCTGTTTCGGGTCGATCAGGAATCGCATGCTACACGACCCTAATGGTTTATAAGGTCGATTTAGAAATACATTTATATGGTCCAAATGAAGTCTTTATGGAGAATGAAGCTATTAACCGACTTGAGTATTTTAAATACCTATTTTCAAATTAAAATCACATTGAAAACTATTCAATGTGTTCTTGCTGAAAACGGTTTGGAAAATGATTTGATAGTTCACTTGCTTCATATGAATATGTGCATTTGGACAGTAAATCTTATGATATACTTTGACGCGTACATTCGTCTCCTTTGTCTGGTGCAACCATAAGGTGGATGATGCCACGTCATGAATGGTCTCTGAGAGCGTGGACTAGATGGTTCTGTCGTGTGCATGTCATGTGAATGAGTTTTCGATTGGTCCTTTCGTGGCAAAGAAATCGTCAGATTGAAGGGCCAAGAGTAGCTTGGGAAACGGCTTTACGATACTCCAGCCAATAGTTATTTCACACATAAGCTGCCCAGGTAGTCACTACACACAAGATTGACGTGTCAAGCCTAGCCCATCAAACCACATGCTAGGCCCATCAAGCCTAGTTCAGTACAGTAGTACACAGTGATTTGGTTCAAGGATTCCAAAAACCTGTGGGCGAATTCGCGCTGGGGCGCTTCTGAACCTCCAGCCGCACCTGCCCCACCTGCGAGCACCCGAACCGAAGGCGCCAACTGCGCTCACCTCGCGCCAGTTCCTCAGCGCCGCATCAACTTTGGATTTCCGCCGAGCCCCGCACTCAAGTTGTGCCCTGGGCAATTCGAAAAGCATTACAGTGCGAGATTCCGTTCACCAATCGCGTTGTTCCTTGCCTCACAAGACACCCTTCCCACGGCCCACACTCAGGGCGTGGTCTCTAACAAGCCCAAAGCTGTACAAAGTGACTCGAAGTCACTAATATCAGTCGCTAAAAATGTATGTATTGGTGTTCCATCCAACAATTTGTCAGTGGTGTCTTTTGGGGCACAGTGGCCTCATGAAATTCCTGCACTTTGCATTTCTCGAATACTGTCTTCGGAGCCACTTGAAGCTCCCAATGGCGCCTCCTCCTTCCCAACCTTCCCTCTGTACGCCCCTTCGTCTCATCACCTCGCTTGCTTCTGCTGTTCGCATTCCACACGCTTCCCGTCAAAGTCAACCTCAATTGACAAGGCAAGTCACACGACTCACTTCACGTCCATTGCGAGTTGAACTCGAAGCACTTCCTTGGTTTCCGTGTTTCCTTAGCGCACTGCACGCAAACGTATGCCATCTCTCACAACTTGTTCTCCGAACTGATTGAACCGTCGCGTCGCTATCGCGTGAGTCCGTTTCAGCCACTCCTTTATCCAGCAGAAGGTTCGCGTCACTGGCTTTTCCAAGAATCTCACGTCGTGTTTTCTCTGCGAACCATCGCAACTCACCTTCTGAGCAACTACTAGTTTCGAGGCGCCGTAGGAACTCACTTCCGACACCACCACTGTCCGACCTGTCAGCGTGCGCGCCAGCAGGCGACGTTCCGACACCGACTTATCGCCGTTTTAGGCACTATCCACTGCCGGTGATTGACAGGGGGAGCTGAACCCAAAGGGCATCGACAGCGTGTTACTCTGAAGGAATTCATGCACGGGTGGTACTGTTGGTGACAGTGGCATTACTCCGTAGCGGTTCAGACGCTCGCCTGCGTAGCTCGCGGCCTGCTCGCCTGCTTAACGCGAGCTTGTATGCTTTCTGCCAGGCTTTCTTCTATGCCTTGTACCTCGTAGCTTCTACTAGGATTCCTTAACCAGCAAGCGAATGCGCGAACAGACCCCGACGCAACGGGATATTCCTATCGGAGAAACCGTTTTTGCGAGTGTACATATAAAATGAATTAATAGGGTGCAAGGAGCTGTGCGGAGTCTTTTCTTGTGTCGCCTATAGAGGAGCGCAAGCAGCAGAGCCTAGGACAGGACTTAAATAAGACTGCAAGCAGCATCAGCAGCAGCAGCGGCAGCGGCAGCGGCAGCAGCAGCAGAAACGGCAGCAGCAGCGGCGACGCGGCGAGATGTGCGTGGTGGTGCCGATATGCGGGTTCGGGGAGTACCCGCAACGAGACACGTTTAAGGAGTCGCTCAAGGCGCTTGAAGCGGATATACAGCACGCAAACACGTTAATGTGAGTGTTGCTGAGGGTGCTTATAGCGAGTATACAGTGTGGTGGTGCCGATAAGCGGGTTCGGGGAGTATCCGCAACACGTTGACGGAGTCGCTTAAGGCGCTTGAAGCCGATATACAGCACGCAAACACGTTAATGTGAGTGATGCTGAGGGTGCTTATAGCGAGTATACAGTGTGGTGATGCCGATAAGCGGGTTCGGGGAGTATCCGCAACACGTTTACGGAGGCGCTTAAGGCGCTTGAAACCGATATACAGCACGCGAACACGTTGATGTGAGTGATACTGAGGGTGCTTCTAGTTTTGATGCCGATATGCGGGTCGGGGGAGTATCCGCACCGAGGCACCTGAAATGAGCTTCACAAATTGTCTAAGTATGTTGTGGTGTTACATGGTGTTACCTGATGCGACATGATGCAGGATTACGACAGCTTTTGAGGCACCTCACAAAGCTTCACAAATGCACAAAGTATGTTGTGGTGTTACATGGTGTTACATGATGTTACATGATGCGAGATCACGACGGGGCGCATCTGCAATCGTGGCTAGGGCCCGCTGGCAGTAAACGTCGGCCCAGCTGGTCATTCTCTTCATTCCTCCCTTATAACCCCCATACCACCTTACCTCCCTTACACAGGGTGGGCGACATGATGCGGGATTACGACGGGGCGTATCGGCAGATGCGCCTGGGCTTCAGAGCCCTTCCTTCCGGTTTCTGTCGCGAGACCCTGCCTTATCACCCACTCTATGGCCCTCGCAGGGCTGGAGACATGATGAGGGACTATGGCGGGGCGTACCTGCAGATGCGCCTGGGCTTCAGCCGGCCCTTATCCTGCTTCTTACAGCTTCCATCGTGCGGCCCTTCTGTACCCCTCACTCTTATCTCTTTTGCAGGGCGGGTGACATGATGCGGGATTACGACGGGGCGTATCTGCAGATGCGCCTGGGCTTCAGCCCACTGGCGCCGCTTGTCCTTTTCCTCGTGCGCTGGACGGATTGCAGTCTAGCGGGGGCGCTGGGGTTGCTGAGAGTGCTGGTTTTTAAAGTGCATAAGAGCGGGCGCACCACCGCTGCCAGACACGAGAGGAAGGCGTCTCTTAGCGAGTTTTATGGTGAGTGGGGCTTGTAACGAGGATAAAGGGCTGCTGAGAGTGCTGGTGTTCAAGGTGCATAAGAGCGGCCGCACCACTGCTGCCAGACACGAGAGGAAGGCGTCTCTTAACGAGTTTTATGGTGAGTGCATCTTATAACGAGGATATGGCGCTGGGGCTGCTGAGAGTGCTGGTGTTCAAGGTGCATAAGAGCGGGCGCACCACCGCTGCCAGACACGAGCGGAAGGCGTCTCTTAACGAGTTTTATGGTAGGCGGAGTATGTAGGTGGCTTGTAACGAGGATATACACCACTGCTGCCAGACATGAGAAGAAGGCATTTCTTAACGATATTTGTTGTACATGGCGTCTAGAAGCAGCTTGTATCGAGGATAAATGGGCTGCTGGGAGAAAAGGGCTTAATATGATTTGTCCTCATTGTTCTCCTCCCCACAATCACCCTATTGCAGGCTTTCTATACCCTTCACTGCTACAGCTGTATCCCGGCATATCGGAAGTGGAGCAAGCAAAGCAGCAGAGGCGGTGTGATGAGCACTATTTGTGGCCGAGAATGGACTCAGCAGGTAGGCGGGCGTTAGACTTTTTTGTCGCTATGGGAGAGAGAAATTACTGTTAAGGCGTTTGGTACAAGTCCAGTGATAGGGCGTATTAGAGCATTCTCGAAAAGACCCGGCAGGCATTTTATCCTAATCGCCGTTATGGGAGCGAGAATGGTCTTTTAAGGGTATCGGTACAGCCAAGTGAGAGTCGTGTCAAAGCACCGTTCACAGTGATTATTAGTAGGCTCTTTCCCTCCTTGCAGGTCAATCAAGACCACCCCCCTCCGCCACTGCCTCCCCCATCAGCTCTCGAGGTTTCTCAACAACAGCCTGTATTTTTCCACATTGCTAATCCTGCTTGACCCTCCACTGGTCGTATTCCCTCCTTGCAGGCCAATCAAGACCACCCCCCTCCGCCACTGCCTCCCCCATCACTTTTTGAGGCTGCTTAGAAACAGACTGCTTATTTCCGCACCACCAACCCTGCTTGACCCTCCACTGGTCGTATTTTTCTCCTTGCAGGCCAATCAAGACCACCCCCCTCCGCCACTGCTTCCCCCATCATCTTTTGTTTTTTCTCGACAACAGCATGCTCATTTCCGTGCCACAAACGAGCCCTACTTGACCCTTCTCTGGTGCTCTCCCCTTTTTGCAGGTCAAACAAGACCACCCCCCTCCGCCACTGCTTCCCCCATCTCCTCCTCCTCCTCTTGGCCCTCCCCTGCCTCCTCCTCCTCCTCTTCATGCTCGTCTTATAACGAGGATGAGGAGATAGAGCTGCTGACAGGGATGGAGCGGGAGAAGGAGAGGGCGAGGGAGAGGGAGAGGGAGCGCGAGTGCGGGATCTGCCTCGAGGAGGTTCGATCCGACGGCTGTGATCGCGTCGCGATTCCCAGCTGCGCTCACTCCATGTGCTCCCGATGCTTTAAGGACTGGTGAGTCTCAACCCAATAAATGAGGCGCTTCAAAAATCTATTCCGCCTGCTCTTCCTCCGGCTCCTCCTCCCATTCCTCCGTTCACCCCCCACTGGTGCGATTCCCAGCTGCGCTCACTCCATGTGCTCCCAATGCTTTAAGGACTGGTGAGTCGTGTTTTGAGTTTACTCAAACCGACCCCCTCTCTCCCATCCTCCTCTTTTTCATCTCACCCAACCCCCTCCCTTACAAACGCTCCTCATTCCGCCCCTCTCCCCCTCAGTATCTCAATACATAACATTCCCCACTACACTTCACTCCACCCCGCCTCACCCCATCCACTTCGCTCAATCCCATCCAACCCCATTCAACCCCATCCCACTCTCTCATCCCCAGGAGCTCTCGCTCGCGTTCCTGCTCGTTCTGCCGGGACGACTTGGGGAAAGTGCAAGAGAGCGACCTGTGGGTGATGGTGGGGGCAGAGGAGGCAAAAATCACCTCTTACAACCCCTTTCTCACCGCGCTCAACCCCATCCCACTCCCTCCCCAGGAGCTCTCGCTCTCGCTCCTGCCCGTTCTGCCGGGACGACTTGGGGAAAGTGCAAGAGAGCGACCTGTGGGTGATGGTGGGGGCAGAGGAGGCAAGAATCAACTCTTACAACCCCTTTCTCACCGCGCTCAACCCCATCCCACTCCCTCCCCAGGAGCTCTCGCTCTCGCTCCTGCCCGTTCTGCCGGGACGACTTGGGGAAAGTGCAAGAGAGCGACCTGTGGGTGATGGTGGGGGCAGAGGAGGCAAATCACATGCAAAACATCAAACATTTCATACAACCCTTTCTCACCGCACTCAACCCCATCCCACTCCCTCCCCAGGAGCTCTCGCTCTCGCTCCTGCCCGTTCTGCCGGGACGACTTGGGGAAAGTGCAAGAGAGCGACCTGTGGGTGATGGTGGGAGCAGAGGAGGCGGAGGATATGAGAAAGATCACTCGAGACAACCTTCGACGAATCTTCCTATTCGTGCATCGGTTACCAGTTCTGGTTACCAGCGACGCGCTGCTGCCTCCTTTGGACCTCGACTACTACTCTCTTCTGTAACAACCCTGGACTCATGCTGTGTAAATAGGGCCTTGATTTCGAGATTTTGAGCCAGGGAAACCGGGGGTTTCTGCCGCTGCCGCTGCCGCTGCCGCTCCCACTGCTGCTACTCTCTCTACTACCCGCTTCTGCTGCTGCTGCTGCAGCGCCACTGCAGCCGCTGCTGAAGTGTGGGGCTCTCGCAACATCAGGGAAGGTCTTGGTGGGAGCCGAGGCACACCGCTAATTGGCAGTTACAGCTGGAAGGATTGTCTCAAACAGAAGGAGGGAAAGAGATGGTCAAAGAAAGAGATCACATCAGCGGGCTTCATGGGGCTTATATCCCACCCTTGTACAGTATCTCTCTTCCGTGCTTATAGCAGCCAGCTACGAGCCCTAGCTACTCACTGTTAGCGATCGCAGGGAGGTGGTAGGTACTACTACGGTACGTCTTGGAGAGTGGAGTGTTGCTTGGGCAATATGCCTTGAGAAAGCGGCACTTCTAGGTGGCAGGAAAGCGTGTGCTGCTGTGTAGCAGCTAGAGTGATCAGGTTCCTGAATAGTATGTCATACGGTAGGTAGTATGCCTCCCTAGGTGGGAGGTGGTGGATGGGGCCTGTTCTTGGCTGGGGAATCTGAGATAGGGGAAATTACCCCATTTTATTTGTACAGTCAGTCGAACGACTCTCTTTTCTATTCCAACATTTTGCCTACCATTCTTCTTCTCACACCAGAACCTTATTTGGCATGAGCATAAACTTCCATCGCCTATTACCGTATTGTACTCCATTAGCCCTGGTCCTGGCACGTCAGTAAAGTCTTAGCGCCTCAGCATCTCAACCTCCTACCACTCAACCTCTCCTCAATCGACGCGGCATACAACCTTTTCACTGCATACAGTTTGATCCGTCCTCTACTCATAGTTTGATTGCCCACAGATGAGCATAAATTCTTGACTGTAACAAACCTTTTGCTACATGTTTTGAAACACGATTGTGCACTCCTCACCGTAGCAATCGAAGCACGCACTACCGAGAATGAAGACGAAAGGGCAGAAGTAATGCGAAGGGACGTACGGTTATGAGGAGCATCTGGTCTGGACCGTCGGGCAGATAGCATCAGGCAGCAGCAGTGGCGAGGATTCTGCCCGAACAGTTCCGTAACCACCCGGAGTCGCACGGTTGGATTTCGCTGCAATAAGGGAATGTACCCCTTAGAGTACATGGCTAGCTAGGTCGTTTCGAATTCCGCTGTACTTTTATTTATATTCCTTGTATGCATGTTTTTATTTTCTCAAGCATTTACATTCACTCTGCTATTGAGGTCAAGGGCCCACCACCACTAGACTAGAAGTGTGCGAACCTGCCTGAGGTGATCCTGGTTACGATCAACTTCTGATCGCAGCATGGTATGAGAGCGACTCAGGAATCCTTCGCACCGCCACCACCGAAATCTTCGGCGAACGAAAAGTGGCGTCCGGCACACGATCGCGTGTCAGAATGGCCGGAGGATCTGGAGGTCAGACGAATCTGACGGCTGAAGCGCAGCCCAATCCGGCTGCGACAAGCGAGGAAACGACGCCGATCCCTTCCGCCGTCCTCGCACAACTGCTTCAGCGACTCACGAGTCTGGAGCAAGGGCTCCAAACATTGCGGAAAGTGTCAGAATCTAGCAGCAGGGATGATTGAACTATGAGAGAATGAGGTACAAATATGAAACCCTCATGTGGGCTGTACCCCATATTGGCTACCCCACTACAGCCTAAGCATATGTAGCATATATATCATTTGACACACCCCCATAGGCAAAGTGGGGGAAAGCAAGGGGTCACAAGACCAGTCAAGAGAAGCAAAGCAAGCTCAGGGTGGATCACAACGTCACCACACACACTGAGCACAAGCAAAGGGCCACAAGGCCAGTTCACATGCAGACGTATATATGCAACAACAACAGCACAATGATCTCTACCTAGCAGAGCAAGCAAGCATGTATATATATAGATCACAGTACAAACAAAGTCTACAGCAAGTGAGGAAAAGTGGGCACAAGGCCTAACAAAGTGCAGAAACGCTGATGATCACCAGACGGAAGTGCCTTGGTGAATATATCAGCGGTGTTGGCCTGAGTGGCCACGTAACGCAGACGAAGCTGACCACGCTGCTGCAACTCTCGAGCCAGGAAGTAACGCAGAGCGATGTGCTTCGTTCTGTGCTCCAGTCTGTGCTCCTCACACAAGGCAATGGCAGCCTTGTTGTCGACGTACAGCACTGGAGGAGAACGAGGCCGCTCTCCCAAGTCGGTCAGCAGGTAGGTCAGCCAGCGTAGCTCCTGTGCAGCCATGGCTGTGGCGTAGATCTCAGCCTCACAACTGGAGCTGAGAACTGAAGACGAGCGAGTAGAACGCCAAGAAACTGAACCAGAGCCAAGGCTGAAGGTGTAACCCTGTGACGACCGCTGAGTAGCGTGGTCGTCAACCCAAGAAGCGTCTGAGTGCCCAGTGAGAACAACTGAGCTCCTCCCTCCAAGCACGAGCCCCATGCCTGACGTACTGCACAAGTAGCGCAGTACCCTCTTAGCAGCATCCATGTGCACCTTTCGGTGCCGACCAGGAGCCACGTAGCGAGCCAGAAGGCCAAGAGGGTACGCGAGGTCAGGACGAGTGCAAGTCATCAGGTACATGAGGCAGCCTACTAGCTCTGGGTAAGGACCACTCGGCTCTACGGACTCGTCCGAAGGTGGAGCTGAGAGTGAGTGACCTGTAGCCAGAGGAGTCGGCTGTGCTGAGGACCAGGTGAAGCCGAAGCGCTGAAGGACCTGCTGCACCATGTGTGACTGAGTCAGTGTGATGGTGCGGCGTGCTCTGTCCCGGGTGATCCGCAAGCCAAGATAGCTTGTTAGCTCACCCAGGTCTGTGCACGTGTGTCTCTTCTGCAGCTCGGACTTCACGTGGGCGAGAGCCTCAGTGTCAGCAGTGGCAAAGACCAAGTCGTCGACGTACACGAGGATGTAGAACGGCGGCAGCGACGTGTCGGTGCGCAGAAACAGCGACGGGTCAGCAGTCGACGGAGCAAACCCAAGAGCCGCAAGTGTAGTCCTCAGTGTGTCGTGCCACTCACATGGTGCCTGGCGGAGACCGTAGACTGGCCGCCGGAGGCTCCACTGGGTACCAGGAGGGAACGACCCAGTGAAGCCAGGAGGGCGGCGCAGCCAGATCTCCTTGTGCAGGCTGCCCTGTAAGAAAGCTGTGCTGAAGTCAAGAGAGTGAAGCTCGTAGTCACGCTGAGCGGCGACGTGCAGCAGCACCCGAAGAGTGGTCATCTTCGGGGTGGGGGAGAAGGTCTGAAAGAAGTCTACTCCCTCTCGCTGACTGAAGCCTTGAGCAACGTAACGAGCCTTGAAGACAGGTGGAGAACCTGGCGGCCGCTTCACCCTGAAAATCCACATGGCACTGACGATGTTCGCCCCAGGAGGGGGAACCTCGTCGACGTAGGTGCCTGTGGACTTCCAGGATGCCATCTCTGCGTCCATGGCTGTCTGCCACTGAGAGGAGTACTCACCCGTGATCGCCTCAGCGTAAGAGCGCGGGGTCGGGATGTGTGGAGCATCCGGGTCTCCCTCAGGGGCAAGCAGCATGGACACGAGGTGAGGCGCAGCGGCTGCAAGACACTCAAAGTCCTCCTGCCTGTCCTCAAGAACGTCCGTGCCAAGAGCACACTCACCCCCGACGGACGGAGGACAGACAGACTCAGACTCAGCAACAAGACTAGTGGCGTAGTCTAGACGACAGGCAGCAGCAAAGTCAACAAGCTCAGCAACAAAGGCAGACGCAGCAGCAGACTCAAACGACGGGTCAGTGACAACTGTGGCTAGCAGACGCGTGACAGTAGAGTGAGCAGCACGGGTGCGGTCAGACTCAGGCTCAGGAACGGTAGGCAGAGAAGACGCAGGAGGGGACGGCAGGGGGACACGCTGCGGAGGAGAGGAGGGACGACGAACTACGAGGTGGGTGCAGGGGACAGTCGGCTGACGCGAACGAGGAACACGACGACCGGAACTACTAGAACGTACAGGCGAGACAGGACGCGACGCAGGCTCACGACGCTCAGTAAAACCCCCTGTCTGCTCAGTGTAAGGAGAAGGAGCAGGCAGCGGTGAGCCAGGGTGTAACGGAAGACCAGTAGACGAAGGGAGACTAAGAACCTGGCGAAGCACAGAGTCAGGCGGTGGCTGAGACGATGAAGACGGTGGAGCGAAGAACAGGCGCGGCTGTGCAGTGCCACCAGCACCAGCAACTCCAGCACCCCCAGCAGCTCCAGCACCTCCAGCAGCTGCAGAACCCTCAGCGCCAGCTCCTCTAGGACCAGCTCCACCAGCAGCAGCACCCCCAGAACCAGCACCTCCAGTCCCAGGGTCTCCAGCCTCAGTGTCTCCAGCAGCAGCACCCCCAGACCCAGGGTCTCCAGCAGCAGCACCCTCAGGCTCAGCAGCACCTCCAGCCCCAGCAGCTCCAGTACCTCCAGTACGAGCACCTCCGGGACCAGCACCACTCCCAGCTCCAGTGACGACAACAGAAACACCTCCAGCGGCAGAGCCCCGAGCTCCAGAAACGCGACCCTGACGGCGACCGTACCAGTCGTGCAGCTGCTGTGAGGTGAGAGGCACACGCGGACGAAGGCGGCTACTCCAGGGAGACCGCGCAACAGCAGGCTCAGAACTCTCAGCGCCAGCACCCGCAGCAGGTCTAGAACCTCCAGCGCCAGCACCCGCAGCAGCTCCAGAACCTCCAGCGCCAGCACCCGCAGCAGCTCCAGAACCTCCAGGGCCAGCACCCGCAGCAGCTCCAGAACATCCAGCTCCAGCACCCTCAGCAGCTCCAGACTCCGCACCCCCAGGCTCCGCACCTCCAGGCTCAGCACCCCCAGGCTCCGCACCCCCAGGCTCAGCACCCCCAGGCTCCGCACCCCCAGAGACAGCAACCCGAGCAGGACCACCCTGAGCAGGACCTGAGTCACCAGTGACCT